TAGTCGTCACAGTCGCCATTCTCGGCACCACATTCATTATCTGCATATACCGCCAAAATCGTCGCAACTCCCTTGAAGTCATTGGACAACGCAGACAAAGCCTGGGAGGAATCATCGAATTAGAAGTTGTCAGACGCGGGGGCACACAACACTAATCGCGAGGACGCGATCCTAGAGGAGGGGGTAATGTTACGATCAAAACATTCTTTCACAATCACACGTGTTTGACACACGTATGCAGGACCACAAAGACATTGCATTCGTGCACATCTCATTTCAATACCTTTCACGATCACTTATTATTTACGCATTGTTACCTTACCGATCACAGACTACCTCATATTAATAGTGGCTGTTTCCCGCATTTCATTACAAACGCATGTAAACCATTCTGTTAACACATGTACATATTTGTATATCTAGCAATATATAAGCCGCGATAGCAAAGGTCTCATACCTTAGCTTCGATCTGGCATTTCTTCTGTGTCAACTTTGCTCCGCCCTAGTGCGGGGGTGACACTAGTAGTGAAGGCGCAATGGCGACAACGATCGGTCTGCAGGACCTCCCCCCAACACCCCTCCTTTCCGAGAAACACTCCGGCATACCTGAGCGCTGGGCGGAGCAGTGCAAAGAGTCCAAGGCACGCCTTTACTCTCTGAAGACCCTCCCTGCATCCGTACCCCGCGAAGGAGAGCTGCCCGTCCTGCCACCAGGAATAGACCGGCCCACTTTCAACACAGCTATCGCGGAGCTGAAGGAGACGCTGGGAGAAGAGCATGTCGAGCTGAATGACAAGCCTCTCGTGGACGGATGGTACATGGAGCACCCGTGCGTACTCACCTAAGTTGCCGTCTCCGCAAACCTCTTAGGACCCAAACCGGTCCAGGAACACCCATGATACGTTCCACGTACTCGAGCAGTCAAAGCTCGTATCCTCCGCGCAGGTATACCCCGGCTCAGTAGAAGACATCCAAACCATCGTCCGCTGGGCTAATAAATACCTCATACCAATCTACCCCATATCCATCGGTCGCAACATGGGATATGGCGGAGCGGCGCCGCGCGTCCCCGGGTCCGTGACCATCGACCTCGGGAGACGCATGAACAAGGTGTTGAAGATCGATGGGAACAGCGCGAGCTGCATCGTCGAGCCCGGCGTGACCTACTTTGCGCTCTACGAGGAAGTCCAGAAAACGGGATTGCCCTTGTGGATCGACACGCCGGACGTGGGCGGCGGGAGTGTCTTGGGAAACTGTATAGATCGTGGGGTCGGGTTAGTACATATAAACTAAAGGAAACTATCCCATCTAACCAGGCGTGATTACTAGGTACACTCCCTACGGCGACCATTGGGCCAACCACTGCGGCCTGGAGGTGGTCCTCCCCTCGGGCGAAATTATGCGGACGGGCATGGGCGCCCTACCGGGCAAGAATGGCGCGGACAATCCCTCCTGGCAAGCCTTCCAGCACGCATACGGGCCCTCCGTCGACGGGATCTTTAGCCAGTCCAACTTCGGCATCGTCACCAAGATGGGGATGTGGCTCATGCCCGCGACGGGGCACCAGAGTTACATGATTACCTTCCCCGAGGAGGACGACTTTGAGCAGATCATCGAGATTATACGCCCGCTCGCGCTGAACCGCGTACTGGGAAATATACCGCAGCTGCGCAGCGTCATCCAAGAGCTCGCGATCACAGGGAGACCAAAGTCGGACTTCTACGACGGGAAGGATCCGATCCCGATGGAGGTGATCAAGGCACATGCAAAGAATATGCCGTGTGGGGAGTGCGCCTGGGTTTTCTACGGGACGGTTTACGGGCCAGAGGAGACGCGAAATTCGCAGCTAGACATCATCCGCCAGGAGTTCTCGAAGGTGCGGGGGTCCAAGTTCTTCTTGCCGGAAGACATGCCCGAAGATCACTACATCCACCCGCGCGCGAGGATCTGCTCCGGCGTGCCCGAGCTGCGCGAGCTCGACTGGCTGAATTGGAAGCCCAACTGCGCGCACCTCGCGTTCTCGCCGATCACGCCGACGCGAGGCCAGGACGCGCGCATCGTGCACGAGATCGTGACGCGGCTGCATAAGAAGTGGGGCTTCGACTCGCTGCCGACGTGGTGCGTCTCCGGGCGGGAGATGCACTACATCGCGGAGATCCTCATAGACCGCTCGGACCCAGACGAAAAGCGCAGAGCGATTTGCTGTATGCGCGAGATGATCACGGAGGCGGCGGCGGAAGGATATGGGGAGTACAGGACGCACTTGATTTTCCAGGACCAGATTTCGCGAACGTATGGATGGGGGAATCAAGCCCTGATGCGCTTTAATGAGACACTTAAGGATGCGTTGGATCCAAATGGTATCTTGGCCCCCGGCAGAGCAGGGATATGGCCCAAGAGTTACAGAGATAAGGGTTGGGAGATCTTACCCGAGGATGAACCGCGAACATCTGTCAAGACCAACGGCGTAATCCACTGAGCAACCATTCTCTTGTTTATGTGTAGATTTGTGGATCTTGTATACTAGTAGATTTATCGAAGGGCATACGGAGAGGTAGTACAAGCGGTCTAAATATGCCTGTCGCGTGGGCTTCATTTTCCTGGTATACCTACGAGAAGGGCAGTCAGGGACCAGAAAGATGCGGAAAGATTGAAATGGAGGGAATCAGTATTAAAAGGCAATATCAAGTTGTCCTCTGCTCCTTTGAAGGATCGGTACAGGTCTGAGATGTTTATCATCTGGAAGGAGGGAGAGAAAAGAGTTGGGTAGAAGCTGAGTATGCTACTGACCTTTATGCTACAGTACCCAATATCACAACACTTACTACCCAGAACTCAGGCCTTTTGAGCAATGCATTTTGCCGGTAGACAACTTACAAGCTGCGTACAGGAGGACCGTGCTGGCTCTGGCTGAGAGCACGATACAATTTTCAACTTATGAATACGGCCGCGGCGTTTGCCGGTCCTCTCCTCAGTGGACGCCACAATCTCAGTCTGCCATAACCTGGTCTTGACAGCTTTGTGACAGCTTGACGTTGTGGCCCTTGCAATAAGGAGTCCTAGGTTTCACTGAAGTGCGGATTTTTCTTGGATGGGAGAGCCTTTGCAACCATCTGGAAGCGCTTCTTCCGACTTATTTGGTTCAGAGGATTCCAGCTTCCTTGAAGCACTGCGAACCGTACCGCTGCCTGGAGACACCGTTGATACTGCTGTCAATGACGATGGACGATCAGACTATAACCGTGTTGTACCCGCGGGGACAACTCTGAAGAGAGCACACTCAGAAGACCCCGACTCACATGACGAATCATCGCAAAGCGCAGGTACGAAGGGGAATGACTCTGGCTCGAAGGATTACTTGAATTCGGATACCTACGGTGCCTCTAGGTTTGGCGATTTCGGGGAGTATATGAGGAGGAAGCGGGCGAAGCTGCAGATACAGAATGGTGAGATAGATGCTGAGGGGGATGGCGAGGGCGGGGCGAGTGCGAAGAGCAGGATATTCCGTGGGTTGGCTATCTATGTGCGCTACTGTCTCTCGCCATTGCGGTTCATTCCATAGAGCTCACTGGCTGAACTCAGATCAATGGCTGGACGGAGCCATCCGTGCAAGACCTACGAAAGCTCATTGTCGAGCACGGCGGAGTATTCCACGCGTACCTCGATAGGAAAACCCTTGTGTGCGTCCTCCACCTCCTCTGACATTCGACCCTATCCCTGCTAACTTATCCTTGCGCATTCAGTACGCATATAATCACGTGTTCTCTCACCCCAGCTAAGATCAAAGAATTCAAGCATATGAAAGTCGTCAGGCCAGAATGGCTAGTGGAGAGCGCGAAGGCGGGGACATTGCTCACATGGCAGCAGTTTATCTTCAGGCCTGGGGAGCGGTTAGAGAGCTCTCAGGGCCACAAATCGGCGCAGACGTCTCTGCTCTCCGGATTCACCAGGACCGCACAGTCAATCCTCGATCAGCGAGCTGCGAAACCTCCCGCTGGTTCCTCCATCCTAGCCTCAGCGCGGAACTCAGCAGCCGGTCCGTCGAAACCATCAGCCCACCCTTCTACCTCGGCTTCCGGAGAGGATGCTGAAGCCGGTCCATCCACTCCCAGCCCCCCGCATACTCCTCCCCAATCACCCTCCAAGCCCACTGCCGCGCCCTCGCCCAGCAAGTGCTCCCCGCGCGCGCACTACTCCACCGATCCCGCGACCCTCACCGAGGCACGCACTATACCGGGCTACTCCGCCTTCAAGTCGAACGCCCACGCGCAGCGCGCCATGGCCGACCCCGCGTGGCGCGCGGCGCACACGGCGGTCGCGCCCGACTTCATTGAGGGGTTCTACAAGAACTCGCGGTTGCACCATTTGAGCACGTGGAAGGCGGAGCTAAGGGGGCTTGTGCAGGAGGCGCAGGAGAGGGCGGAGAGGGGGTTCTTGGAAGGGTTGGACGGTGAAGATGGGGAACAGGAGAGCATGGGGACTGAGACAGGGAGGGCAGGGGAGACGGACGCGTATAGCATGCAGGGCGCGGCGCTGGTCCTGCGGTCGCCGTCGTCCAAGGCGAAGGGGAAAGCGAAGGCTGTTGATGCACCTGACGAGAGGGTGATCATGCATTGCGATTTCGACGCGTTTTTCGTGTCGGCGGGCTTGGTCGATCGCCCACACTTGCGCGGGAAGCCGGTGGTAGTTTGCCATTCACAGGGGAACCAGGGAGGGCTGTCGAGCACTAGTGAGATTGCCAGCGCAAGTTATGAGGCGAGGAAGTTTGGGATAAAGGGGGGTATGAGGTACGTTCTCTAGTCTGGAAAGATGTCGGAGAGAGGACTAACGTGTTTGGTTCTGCAGTTTACAGCAGGCTCGCAAGCTTTGTCCAGAGGTCGTAACTATCCCGTATGAGTTCGAGAAGTATGATTTTTTGTTCTCTTTCCATGTCGTTCAAGTCCCAGCTTATTCATACCTCCCAGATATAAGAAGTACTCGTTACAATTCTACACCATCCTAATGTCGCATGCAGATGATCTCCAAGCTGTATCTGTTGACGAAGCCTTAATCGATGTGACAAGCACAGTCGCAAATATGAAATCCTCCCCACAAGGCTCAATATCCGAGGACCCCGCCAAGGACCTAGCAGAACTCATCCGGTCGCAGGTGCGCAAGGCTACCGGTTGCGAAGGTACGTCCATCGCTGACTCCCAGTACCGACACTCAACTCAAGTATCGCATTAGTAAGCATCGGCATCTCGCACAACATCCTCCTTGCTCGCCTCGCAACACGCCGCGCCAAGCCCGCTAGCTCCTACCACCTCCTCGCAGACGACGTCTCTTCCTTCCTTGCGCCACTGGAGATCGACGACCTGCACGGGTTCGGGTACAAGCATCATCAGAAGGCGCAGGAAAAGCTCGGCACGACCATCCTCGGCGAGCTCGCGAAGAAGAGCAAGGGCGTGCTCTGCGAGGCGCTGGGGAAGGGCACGGGCGAGACGCTGTATAAGGCGCTTAGGGGCGTGGATGAGAAGAAGCTGGAGAGCGATAAGCCGAGGAAGTCGGTTTCGTGTGAGATTAATGTAAGTCCACGACGATTGCTTGCGCATGAACGGGAGGCTGAGATTGTGCAATAGTACGGGATTAGATTCCAGAATAATGAGGAAGCGGAGAAGTTTATGTATCAATTGGCGGAGGAAGTTGGCAGGCGGTTGGATAAGATCGATATGCGAGGACGATCTATGACCGTCAAGATTATGAAGCGCGACCCCAAAGCTCCGGTAGAGCCACCCAAGGTACATACGATAGTGGTGTGCTTCCCAACTGTATCTTGCTCACTCCTCTGTAGTTTATGGGCCACGGTGTCTGCGAATTGTTCAACAAGCAATGTACTCTCGTGGCTCCGGGCGGTCGAGCGACGAGCGATCCTCAGATCATAGGGGAGCATGCGTGGAGAGCCCTGAAGTCGTTCAATTTCGATCCGAAGGAGCTACGGGGTATCGGTATTCAAATTCAGAAACTGGAGAAGAGTTCAGCGGCTGTCGGGCCTGCGCCGGGGCAGGCGAAGCTGCAATTCCAGAATACAAGGAATCAAGCGAAGACCGCGAAGCCTCCAAGACCTGATGGTCTTCTCGTTATCGACGAAGATGTTCCTCCCGGCCCCGACGCCCAACCAGAGGTGGTGTCTGCTACGACCGGCCCTGTCGCGCAGGAAGAACGCAAGGAGCAAAGTGATATACCCATGGTCGACCTGCCTTCGTTTTCACAAGTGGATAAATCCGTTTTTGATGCGCTGCCGGAGGATGTCCGTCAGGAATTGGAGCAAGAGTACAAGCGCCGTTCGGCTTCTCCTGCGCCCTTCTTGCTCCAGCAGAAGCGGGCCTCGCGAGCCCTGTCAGCCGGACCCTGTAGAAAACCAGCTTCCAGGCTCACCGTCAAGGGCGCCAAACCGCTCAACGTGAAGCGCATCACAAAACAGCTTGCACCCCGAAACAGAGCGGTCCTGTCCCCGTCCAAGAACAAGCTCTTCGTGAAGACGAGGCCGTCGTCCGTGAAGGTGTCCGACGCGGAACTGAAGAAGCTAGGCTTGGACCCGGAGGTATTCGCGCTGCTCCCTCCGGACCTGCAGCGCGAGCAGCTCGCGGGGGCACGGGCGGCGCAGACCGTCGGGAAGCTCTCGCTCAAGGCGCCGCTGAAGCCCAAGCGCATCCGGCGCTCGCCCTCGTTCAAGTGGGTGAAGCCGCCGCTGCCCAAGGCGCGCTATCGGCCCGTGCCCGTGCTGAAGCAGCAGGGCAAGGCACCAGGCGAGAAGCTGCTCTTCACCGAGACTGATGACCTGCAGAACGTGATCGCGATGTGGGTGGAGGGGTTCCGCGAGTCCCCCCCGCACGCGCGGGACGTGGATTACTTTCGGAAGTTCTTGGTGAGCTGTGTGGGGACGGATACGGGTCTGGAGAGGGCGTTGGATGTGGCAAGGTGGTGGCTCGTGCTGCTGAGGAGGTATTTTGGTGTCTGGGAGCATGCGGGGGACACGGCTGAGCCGGACCCGGAGGGCCGCGTTACGTCGGAGATGGTGGGGAAGGCGTGGTGGAAGGTGTTCAGGGATGTCAAGGCGGAGATGAACGCGGTCGCCAGGAAGAAGTATGGTGGGTGCTTGTCGTTGAAATGATGGATGTAACGAGTATAATGGCGAAACGCAACGACTTTACCCGCGTTTACAGGATGCGTAGCTACGGTAACACCATTCGGATGCACACCCCTTGCAAGGGTATCTGTCTAGACATCCGACTCTCAGCACCATACTACTATTCGTAAGTACTTAGATGCGTTTTTGCTGCTTTCAGTCCGTGAGCAGGCTCGAGGTTCGAATGATGCTTGTGGCAGCGGCAAATGCCGAAGACTCCTTTGGTCGCTGGCGCAGAATTTTGTTCTCATTCCCTATCATCATGCACGGCCGCGACAGTTCCCCTGCTGCAACGTCTTATGCGTCGGTGACTATGCATATACAAGCTAGGTCGGAGTCAGCGCGTTTTCTTTTGCAGGGTCGCAGCACGCCAGACAAACTTACAGGTTCGTGGCATTCTCAGTCTGCCCTTCCTTTCTTTCTCCTCGTCTTTCGGATGATAAATATCTCAGACCTGTACCGATCCCCGTAGGGGAAAAGCGGACGACTTACATTGCCTTTTTAATCTGATTTTCTGCATACTTTCGTTGCCTGTCTGAATTCGTCAGTCTGACCTGCATGATCTCGCAGGAATACCTCTGCCTTTCTGAGGAAGCCCAGACGATGGGTCAGTGTAATCTGGGGCGCGTTGGGGGTAGGGATGTTGGAAGGTTTGTCAGGCTGTGGGGTTGTAGTGGTGCCGTATGCTTCATCCGACGGTGAGTGTACATATGCGTTGTATGTGGGTAAGACTTTTGCTTCGCTGCTGGATCACCGGCTCTCGTCACTCGGGATATGTCTGTGCGGGTGGGCTGTCCGATGCTAGGTCTTACGTTTACGAGGACATCCACCCCTGGAGTATGGTCAATTCATGCAGTTGAATTGTCATGTTGGCATGACATGGTAGTCCGTAACCGAAGAAAAGTAATAATAATGATCAACCAACAACACCTCGATTCCCCGTCTCCCACCTACGCCGCTTGCTTCGTCCCCACCGCGAGGAACGCGCTCATCTCCTTCCCGTGCATCGTGAACGTCGCCGCGTGCTCGTGCTCAAAACCCACAATCCCGTGCTTCGCGAACACATCCTTCAGCTCGCCGGTGTCGATCCCGTGGTGGTGCGCGACGTGTTTGTACTGCTCCGGGATGAGCGCGTCGTCGCCGCGGTAGAGGTCCGCGACCATCAGGCGCCCGCCGGGCCGCACGAAGTGCGCGAGCACGCGTGTGGTGTCGTCGATCGAGTCGAAGTGGTGGTACGCCATCGAGCACTGTGGTCATCAGCATGCATGTCAGACTCAGATAGGTGGAAGGACGTGAGGGGGGGGGGGGCAGGACGCACCACTACGACGTCGAATTTGGCGCCGCCGAGCTCGTTGTCGTCCCCCTTGAGCTCGGCGCGGACGGCTTTCATCTCTTCGGGCGGGATGCCCTGGTTCGAGACGCGGAGGTTGTACTGGTCCACCATGCCCTGGCTGATATCCACGCCGACGATGGACTTTGTGTGCGGCGCCAGATTTCTCGAGATCAAGCCTGACGTTCGTTCCGCGCGTGAATATCTGGCTTTCGAGTATAATGTATCAGTACACACCTGTCCCGCAAGCGTAGTCCAACACCGTCGTTCTCTCCTCATCGAACGGGTACTTCTTCAGGATCTTCTCGGATATGCGGGACGCAAGCTCGACCGCGCCGGGGACGTCGTCGTACTTGGCCGCGTGCTCGTCGAAGTACTTTTTGTTGGACTCAGCAAAGTTGCCGTGGCCATGTTCGTGATGCTCGTGGTGGTGTGCAGCCGGGGCGTCAGACATCGTGCTTGCTGGTTCTCGGACGGCGAGGAAGGTGAGGGTCGAGAGCAAGAAGAACAGGAATAATTTGGGCTGTCTGAGCGCTGCATTTATAACGCTCCTGACCATCCCGCAATTCGGAATACAGGGGCACAGATGACATCCTGACTAGACTTTTGGCTAGGCCTTGACGAAGACAAGGTGGACTGTGGTTGGCGAATGCTGACGCGGGCGTTGCAGTGCGCAGTTGGATGCGGGGACCGCATCAGTCGCGGCGGGGCCGCCTTATGTGCATTGTGTCATTTACATTATACTATCTGGACTGTGGCTTGACTGTGGCATTGTACTAGTCACTGGCCGGGCTTCGACTGGAATAATCCTGTCATGAGAAGTGCAATGCACTACGCAATATACTGCTACTTATTATGATCGACATATCGAACGACCCAAGGAAAATGTGCAACAGATACCGGCAGCCCTGAGTTCACGCGAGTCACGAATAGCGTAGAGTGTGGCTTCTCTACAGATCGCAGGGTAACTAGCCAGATTCTTGGGCAGTGCAAGCTGATGCTGCGCCAAGGGTAATCGGCCTGCGGACTCCCTTTGAAACACTCAGAGTTGGAACCCACTTAATGTCTCTTCATGGTACATCGAGGCAGGCGTTCAACATTAGTTTTCGACTCCCTGAAGCCAGCCGGGTGTGATATCGATGTGGCTCGGCATGGGGTTGGCAGGGCAGGGCGTCGCGGGACATCGACGAAGCCAAGCTGGCATGACGATCCCCGACCCCTCGAGATGAAATCGTCTTGAATTATGCATTGAGCAAGAGCATCCAAGTATTTCAACCGCATCCTTTCACCTCGAAATGATCGTTTGCAGGCTTGGTCTCGAGGAACCTGGCATGGCTAGCAAAGTCCGTCATACGATCCGATCACTGTGGACCCCAGAGAGGGGTAAATTCACCATGTTTGTAACCCAGAAACTGAGTCACTTTCACCAGGTCAAATGGTGATTTTCACCGGTAGGTGGTACTTTTCACCAAGTACGTGGGTAGATTGCAACGGGTGAAAATCCACCTTTATATGGCCGGTTTCACCATGTCAGTATCGTGTAGTTGTGCGAGTGAAATTCACCCTTGAGGTGAATCCTCATTGAACCTATTTCACCATAATTCCTGGTGATTCCAACCCATCATCATATTATCATATAATTCACATATTCATAACAAATTAATAGTCATAATATTGCACTACTACTACATATGTATTACAGGGATTACACTGTGTACTTGAACTACCTTACAGCCATTTCAATGGATGCCACAATCGGCACGCAGCCAACGACCTACAGCGTTACAGCCGATGGCACTATCCCGCACGGCAGGATGACCTGCCATACGCTGAACACTTACCTCGTCATCATCGCCAGCAGCCCCGCCACGGGGATGCACCCACCACGCCGCTGAACTCAGTTGAAGGAGGATATGTACATTAGCATTATGGTGCCGTACACGGATACATTCGAGCTCACCTAGCTACCTATGCGGTCTCCGTCTGCCTCGAGACTACTGGCCTTCATCGCACCGCACCTAGGATGACATCAGCTACGCCAAGAGTATGTAAGTTCACAGGTCATACCTGCTTGGACACCTAGAACAGGTTAATGGGGATTTACCAACCTGGTTGTCCACACTAGTTATTTGGCCCAGATTCCTCGTATCAGATATATTCCCCTACTATTCTGTAGCGCATAGTCAGTAGCAACTTCATGCTGGACCATGATGAAATGTAGCATACCTTCTTGACTCGACGTCTGCAACCCCGAACTCTACGCCCTGAGACCAAACCGAGCGCGCCAGAGCACCTAGCGCACCGTCAGGTTGTCGTCGTCGGTCGTATCCTGCGTAGGAGGTGTATGGCCGCGAGCCCAAGACATATAGAGAGGAGAACTCGAAGAGTGGAAGGGTCAGTGGTGGTGGTCACAGTTGAAGTCGGACTTAGCGACGTGCGCGTCATAAGTGGCGCTGGCGGTTCAGCGGTTTCTCACGATACCACCACTACGCAAATCACAGAGAGCACTCGTACGTGTACTGTCGACGTTGAGGACCATCTCACTTCAAATACCGTATAAGCAGTATTTACACAGTTCAATGTATTACATGTCAAAGATATAAATTAAATGCAATTTATGCATATGAGGGAATAACAATGGCCTTTGTTTCGCATGGTGATTTTCACCAATTTCTTGGGTACTGTCAAGCCCGCATTTTATGCCCGTGTAAATTCACCCGCTTTCTGGGTGAAATGGAATAGGTAAATTTCAACCGTGCAATCACCAGTACCCACTTGTCACCCACTTTTTGGGTGATTCACGAATTTCACCCGGTTACATGGTGAAATTACCCGTCCTTGGGGCTCACAGTGGATGTTAGCAAAGGGATAGTATCCCAATACAATCGGCGCGTCTCCGAACCTGCAGATGACTCCGGGCAAGTTGAAAGCCGCCCGCACCGAGCTGAAGGAAGGATGATCTTGGCGGAGCCAGGTTCGAAGAGTAAACGTGACGGCCCTGCCCATCCATCATCGCTTACCACCGACCTATCTGCCTCGCAATCATTGTTGCCGTCACCTGCACCATTGAAACGCTACGAGCATACGAGGTATCCTGGACCTTCTTACGAGGTTCTGGCTATGGTGTCGGCGGCTCCAGTGTCAGTACTGGAGAAGAGGAGGCGAAGCAAGAAACCAAGTCTTGCAAGGGCTTGTTCTGAATCGGTAAGTACGGTTCTTGTGCTTGTATATTTCTGGTACTGTATCTGATTCATGATACGGTGCTCGCTCAAGAGCTCCCTGCACAGACCGCTTTGTACCCCTTTTGCCGTACCAACGCCGTGGATGTCCTGCGGCTATTTCGTCTTTGTACATTTAGAGCAGACATCAAGAGCAACACCAGTGAGTGCTCGTATTTTAGTTACGACTACATTCCCATATGGATGAACGGTACCCATCGACTCATGGCAACACCAGAGTTTCGTAGGTTGACGACTGCGCGGTGCAGGCCTTCCGCTGTCTTGGACGGATCCGGCATACCGTCCGCGTCGCAGCAATAATCATACACGTCTCTGGCAACCCTCGGCCCGTCAGCGTCACTGATAGACCAAAGCGTAGCTATGGCGCTCTTGAAGCCTGCGAAAAGCATCCCGCCGGCCAGGTGCAAGGCCTCGTCAGTAAGCTTCCGATCGCCTAGGGCTGTCTGACAAGCTGATAGGAATGCGAAAGATGCTTTCGGCAGGTCTAGACGCAACAGCTCCGAGAGCTGCAACCTGCCCCCGTCTGCCATTATAAGGCCGCTTTTGAGCGGGTCCGTGTCGTCCTGCACTCCATGACAGGCAAAGTGTGCCCAGTAACATTGAGGCAATATATCGATAAGAGGCTGGTTGGATACTTCGGCGCCTGTAAGGTCCACTCTGAATTCCCCGTTCGTCACGTTCCGAATGACGGTGACTTCTGATCTGGTATAGGGCAGAGAAAGCTCGGGCTTTCCTGCTATGTCCGGAACGGAGACGACGAGGATCTTTGAATTTTCCCGCGCGCCGCTTGTCTGGAAATCGTCCTGCGCTTTGCAGAGTGAATGTAAAGTGGGAATATAGGATGAAATGTAGTGCGGGATGGCCTCCCTCTTCATCTCGCCATGGAGCGCCGCTGCGTGGAAGGGAAGGCTGCTGAATGCCCCGGTAGGACACCACCAGATACGTCTGTGTTCTCTCTCTATCTGCAGTACACATTGAGTTAGAAACATGACTAGTGAGGAAGGATCATACCTTCAGAGACTCTAGTTGATTGAAGACTGGTTGGACCACCGCCGAGAACAGCTCTTCAAGAAGCTCGCCGAATGTCTTATTCACTGCGTGTCTCCGTATATGGCGGTTGGAATCACTGTTGATGTCCCGACTACGGAAGGCACCCGTCCATTCTCCTAGATTGACTCTTAGCTTTGCTACCTTCTGCTGCGAGACGGACTCCAGAGGAACCACGTGGACACTGGTAGCGTTGGGTAGAATTATCAGTGCGTCACATCTGAATTGGCTGCAATTTAATATGACCGCTACGCCTTTCTTCGCGCATTGTTTCAGGGAGGAGAATGGTTGGGGCCCCAAGAAGTGCTCCAGGCCTGGTCTCTTCCGGACCGACGCGACCAACATCTCCCATCTCTCTGCCAGCTGCATCCTCATTGAGGATGTATTGCGGCGGTGCGGCTGCTGCCCTGGCTTGTCGGCAAGCTCTTCATTTTGATCATCAAAATCTTCAGTCGGATGGGTCTGCAATTGATTCGACACGGCACGGAGCTCTCTCGCGAGATCCGGTTGGATATCTTCAATCATGTCCAGGTCGGTCCGGAGATTGAGGAGTTGAGAGATCAGAATCGATCTTCCCTGCTCAAGCAATTCAACGGCCCTCTCTGGAGCACCCGCTGTTACATAGCACGCGGCGGCATCAAGTGCAAGCTCGGACGCGTACGAGAGGGCATGTTGTCTGTCAGAGAAATTCACGCCGAGCCAGATAACTTGAGGTAGAAGGTCAAAGGCTTTGCTGTAAGCTTCCTGCGCATTCGGTATTCGATTGACCTTATGTGCAAGCTTGGCCCCTTCCACCGCACTCCGGAATCTACTAAATGCTGTACTCTGGTAGGAATCGGATCCTTTTGCAAAGCGCTCGAGTGCTAGGTCCAGGTGAGCCACATTCATCTGTGAATCATAGGAAGATTGATAAATGGATGCGAGATCATATTCCCACTGAGCACAGTCTGGGGGATGCAGTGCCACACCTTCCAATGCCAGAGAGGCATGGCAAATTGCCTTGTCCAATAGATCCTGGTCACCAAGATGGTCATACTTGTTGTGATAAGCTGTAGCCATTGAATTATGCCATGCAAATGAGTCCCGATGGCCCTCTGGTGTATGTTCCAAAGCCCTTTGGTAGTATGAAATGGCTGTGTCCAGATCGTTCAAATCATGGCTGTGCTTATACCGTTCTTGATAGGCAAATCCAAGATTATTCTCAAAATTGCACAGCTCTGAATGTTCTTTGGGGGTCCTGTCGACTGCCTTCTGCTTGTAGAAGATTGCGAGTTCCAGGTCTTCAGGGTTCTTGAGCCTATCATATCTTTCACCATATGCGATCCCAAGACTATTCTCCATTGCTGGGAGGTCTACATGGTTGTTGGGCAGCAGCTCCACAGCTCTCTTGTGACAAGCAACTGCCTCTTCTAGATCATGCAGCTGGCCAAGCCTATCATATCTGTGCTGGTATGAAATACCAAGGCCATTGACCCAAAGAGGCATGTCAGGATCATCAGTTGAAGTGTTAGCAATGGCTTGCTGAGTGATCTGCAAAGCTATATTGATATCTTCCAGAATACCAGTCCTTTCATATAGATATTGCAAGGTGATTCCATAGTCATATTGATATCTTGCCAAGTTTGTATCTCCTTGTTGGATGACATCCATCACTTTTTTGCTGTGTTCTGCTGCAAGCTGCAGATACTGGACATCTCCTTCTCTCCCATACTTATGCCTATAGGCTGCAGTAATCATGGACACACAGGAGTACAATTCAGGACCTTCCAGGGGTGAGTCAGTGATAACTTGTTGGTTTAACTCCAGGGCTTTCTCAATATCCTTGGGATCACCCCATCTTTGATATTTTGCCAGATATGCCTGAGCAAGGCTAGCTTGAGGTTTGGAAAATATGGGCTGCTTTGCATTGGCTTTGTCCAGGCCTTCTTTTAGATGCAGAAATGTGGCATCCAGATCATCCAAGTCTCCCAGCCTATCAAATCGCAGCTGAGAGCAAGCAGCTAAGTTGTATTTCCAGCTAGGATAATCAGGATCATCACATGGTGTGTTGTCTACTGCCTCCTTGTGATGGTTAGTACTTGACTGTAGGTCTTGGATATTCCCAGTTTTGTGATAGCTACTGGCATATACACCCCCAAGGCAAGAGTGCCAATGAGGCATATGATCTTCAGGTATGTTGTCCATTGCTACATGAAGAATCTTCAATGAATTTGCTAGATCTTCAGCCCTGCCAAACCTTTCATAGACTTGGGCATAAGCCAGGCCAGCATTCTCAGCAATTGTAGGCAGTTCATCATTGTCTTTTGGAACTTCATCAAAAGCTTTCTGGTAACATTCAACAGCACTGTTGAGATCTTTGATATCTCCAGACTCCTTGTACCTCGCCATGTAGGCATCGGCAAGGTCCGTATCAGCTTCATATAGTGGCAGATCCAAAGAATCATCCAACAACTCTTCCCTTGCACATCGGGCATACTCGATGGCCATATCTATATCCCGAAGATTGCGTCGCGCGCCATAAGATCTCCTGCAAGCGATTGCGAGGAAGTGCAACCAGAGAGGATGGTCGGGATGATCGCCTGGACACCTCTCGACCGCATCCTGATGACAGCGCAAGCCAGCCTCCAAATCCTCGGTGTCCTGGACCGCATCGTATCGCATAAAATGCGCCTGCCCGAGACTATTATACCACTCGGAAATGTTGTCGTAGTCAGGAGGCGCGTGCCGGATGGCCTTCTGGTAGCACGCAAGCACCCGCTCGAGGTCGTCGCGATCGCGCGTCCGCTCGTGGCGCAGCTGGCGAGCGGTCCCGAGGTGGTACACCCACCGCGCAAAGTCGGGGTGGTCCTCGGGCGTGTTTTCCAGCGCGCGCTGGTGGTACTCCAGCGTCTTGTCGATGTCCGCCACGTCGCCGCCTCGCCGGAATCGCATGCGGTACGCGAGGGCGAGGTCTTTCTGGAAGAGCCTGAGGTTGTTGCGGTCGTGCGGCAGCACCCTTGCGAGGCCGGAGGAGAGGTGGCTGATCGCCAGCTCGAGGTCGTCGGGGTTCCCGTTGAGGGCGTAGCGATCGAGCAAGTCGAAGCCGGGGTTATCAATGTCAGGGGGTTCTGGTGGGATGTTGCAATTCATCATCATGTCAGATGCATGCCGAACGTCTGGGGCCGGGAGCTAGCTGCATGCACTACGTACCTTCTGCATCCCGTTCGTACGATTCCCCGCGGTCGCTGGGCGAAGACCGTCCGCTAGGGTTTATCATTGCAGCGAAAGCAAGTTAAAGTAGCGATCCGAAGCGCAGAACGGATCCGTCAGGTTGTTCTACACTGCACAGACGATGACAATAAGCAGAACAGTGGTAGAGGCAGGTATCAGCAATCGATGTCGTTCAGAAACTTCAGATTACTGCGCGTTCGGCGCAGTTGAGTCAATGACCGAACACGGAAATGTCCGTCTGTGACTCTGTGTTCACTCGACTTCAAACAGCCGCAGCAAAATTTGTTCTGCGTCGTTTCGATGATCTGTTGTCCCTGCAGCCCTGGCCCACGACGTGTGCAAACCAGATATAGGAGGTACCCTAGGTCGACTGTAGAACGCAAGTGTGGCCGATGTCACGGATCCCGCGACGCGCATGAGAGTACGCGTGTGATGCGTCACGCTCACGCCGTGATTCGCGTTCTCGACATCAGAAGTCCACAATTCGAAAAGAACTCAAGAACTCATCGTCTTTAGTTTTAATGTATTTCTCTCCCCTGAATCAGAAATTGAAGAATTAAAGCAGGGCTTATTGGGCTTATTTTCAAGCGCGTCGAGTCCCGCATGATGGGGCGTGACGTTGCGGTAAGTATAGGTCACGTGACTTAAGCGGCATTATCACGCTTTCCCCGCGCGCCCATTGTCTTTTGTTCTCTTTCGGTACGTACAAGCGGCATTGTCTATTTGTCGGCGGCCTTATTCTTCGAGCACAAAAAGAAACCATAGCGACTATGCACCGACAAGCCTTTTTGGGAGCGGCGGAGGGACACGCAGTCTCTCGTTCTTCCCTTCCACCAACACAGAGCTCGCTATGCTTTCGAGCCTTCTCATTCCTATCTTTCTCGGCGCGTCGGTCGCCGCACAATCTTCTGCAACTGTCGTATGCGTTGCTGGTCAATGCCTGGAAGGCTTTGCTAACATTACGAGTGCGTTTCTCTTTTTCATAATCGATGATTTGACCCTGACATGTGTGTAGTCGGGACGAAATTGTCCGCGTCAGGCCTCGAGACCAGCCTCCTTCTGCTACCTGGAGAGTACACATCCACAACAAATCCACAACTACTCCATAATGTTTTGACTTCATCATCCGCATCACTCTCCCCCTCACCGGGATTCAACTCATCATCTGTGTCGCTCCCCTTGAACGTTGCGCTCGAGCCTGGCCTGGCCATCTACTCCGAGTCACTATACTCCGGCCAGGCAGGATTCTCCAGCCTACCAACAACCCCTGTAGGCAACAGCTCATCAGGCACGCCGCTCTCCGCCAGTTCACTCGCACTCTCTTCGAACGTCTGGGCCGCCGTATCCTCCGGGTCCTCAAATAACCGCATAATCCTCTGGGACTCCGTCCCTGACGTCTCACAGCTCCCCTCGGGTACAGCCGGCTCCCTCTCGCTCCTCGACATTGAATCCGCCTCGTGCTCGCCCCCATGCTCCGGCTCGGGCGTCTGCTCTGCTTCGGGGACGTGCACCTGCCCATCAGGCTTCACTGGCTCTTCATGCGAGTCGTGCGCGTCTGGGTTCTTCGGCCCGACGTGCCAAGCGTGCCCGGCTGACTGCGCGAAGTGCGACGACGGGATCTCGGGGACGGGACGGTGCCTTACTATTTCGGTGGCCAACCCACCATCGAGCTGTAACTGTCTGAACGGGCAGTGTGGCAACAATGGGCAGTGTACGTGTAATCCCGGGTGGACGACGGCCGATAACGGGACTGCGTGTGCGAAATGCGCGCCTGGGTTCTTTTTGGATTCGAACGGGGATTGCTCTGGTAAGTACAATGATATGTCAGTGATTCTGACCGTTGCTGATGGTCTGTAGTCTGCGAACTGGGCTGCACCTCCTGCGCGGATGGTAACGGCGATTGCCTGACGTGCGCGTCCGGATTCACGATAGATGCGAATGACCGCACCAAGTGCATCGCGCCTCAATCCACCACTTCCACCGGGACCACCTGCCCTGATGGGAGCTTCAGCAATGGAACGGTGTGTACACCCTGTTCGACCGAGTGTCAGACCTGCAAGGGTCCTACGTCGAACGATTGTATCATTTGTGGCAATGGCCGATATGCCCTCAATGGGACCTGTGTGCCGGCGGACGGGAATGGTGTATGTGAGGGCTCCAGCCTCATTGCCAACAACGACAAACATGAGTGTGATAGTACGTATGCTCCCTCGCTGGGCACAGTTCTGAGGCGCTGACATTTCTGCTCAGGCTGTCCTGCGAAATGCACTTCGTGCAAGATTCCGAATTTCAACGTAGCATCGACGGTGAATCAGTTGCAGTGCACCGGGTGCTTGCCTGGGTCTGTCTTGTCGAATGGCAAGTGCGTGGATAGCTGTCCGTCCGGGACGTTCCTCTCCCCCACCGATAATTTGACGTGTACTGGTGAGTTGTGCATTATCAAGCCAACTCGTTCGAAATTAATCCAATTTACGTGCAGCTTGCGACTCTTCCTGCAGTACTTGCGCTGGCTCCGCGACGTTCTGTTTGACATGCGCGAACAACCAACTAGCCTCCTCGGGCAAATGCATTGCCTCATGCCCGTCAAACACCTTTAGCTCGTCCGGGCAATGTATTCCTTGTCACCCAGACTGCGCGACCTGCTCTGGCGCCTCGTTCAACCAGTGCTCGAGCTGCTCGTCCTCGCGCCCCGTGCTGACCAACGGCCGGTGCCTGCCGACGTGCAGCAAGTCTCAGTACTTCGATACCACGTCTAGCACCTGTCAGTCCTGCGATAGTAGCTGCTCGAGCTGTAGCGGGACCGGGCCGAGCAGTTGCTTAGCGTGCTCAAGCTCAAGCCAGGTCCTCCGGGGCGGGACATGTGTCTCCGCGAACTGCAACGGTACCTCCAGCGTCATCTCGGGGTTGGGCGTGTGTCTCTCCGAGCTCGTCTTCGTCCCGCAGGCGTCGGGTACCAGCGCCGCGCCGCCTCTGCCGTCTATCACCGGTATCGACCAACCGACAATAGTGAAGAGCACTTCGCGCCCGCTGCAGTGGTGGGAGATCCTGCTCATGGCGCTCGGGTGCGCGTTCATCTTCGTGTTGTTCTTGATGTGCTGGCGCCGCCAGATGCGCAAGCGCCGCGCCAAGAAGACGGTCCAGTTCGCGACCGCCAAGGGGATGGAGGGCAAGACGAGCTGGCGCTGGAAGTTCATCCGGTTTGGGGAGCGGCTGTTCGGGCACCGCGCGAGCCGCAGAGGGCCGGTTGCGCTCCCTGGCGAGGAGAGCGAGCAGATCAGGCTGACGAAGATGCGAGACGCGGAGGAGGCAAGGCATGACCGCGACCTGGAGAAGCTCATCGGCGCGTACGAGTACCCGCGCTCGAGCCGCGTCCCGTCGGAGCCGGAGGCGCAGAGACACCTTCGCCCCGATCGCGACTCGTGGCTGCACGACGACCGGTCCTCGCATCGGCTGTCGTCGAACTCGCTGTACTCTGAGGTGACGGGCGTGCCGCGGAGGGGGCCGGAGCCGCGCCAGCCGGTGAAGACGCAGAACCTGCAGTCGCGCTTCTCGGATACAACGGGCGGCGGGTCCTCGATGTATAGCGGGCAGTCGCATTCGCGGGAGCTGACGCCACCGGTACCGCAGCATACCGAGGCGGAGCGGTATGCGCTGCAGAAGGGCGACGCGAGCCTGAGTGGGGCGCAGGGGGTGTACTGGATGGCCCCCACGAATACGGGGTCGTCGGCGTCGAAGAATCCTTTCCGGAAATGAGTGTTGTGGACTCGTTCGTACTTCGGCTTGTTGTGGACAATACTTCGGATTATCATACCATATAGCATAGATCATTTCTTTCTCGCTCTCTTTCACGACTTTCGCTGCTGTTTATCTTCATGATTTTTATACCATACATTTCGGCACACTATTGTATACTTACGCTCCTCGATGTAGCGATACCGCATATATACCGTCTCGATGTTATGTACCAGGAATCAATGTGGGTGAATGTGGATCATCTTTCCGCTTGAGACTGTCGGCAAGGCATATGACCTCGGGATCAGACGGACGAATCCTAGCAGAGCGATACACCCCAGACGCGTGCACCCGAGCGCGTCCTCCCACCCTGCTCGCCGTCTTCCCAGCACCCTCGAAGTATCGTCCGGATGAACTAAATGTGCAGCACGGCGGCAAGAGCCTTGATGACGAGTATATAACTCGGATCTACGACAGAGCGTACGCGCAACGTGTCGCATCTGCTGATGCACTGCGGTCTTGTTCTCAGGCGTAACGCCCGTTTCCCCATACGCGACGGCGTTCAATATATCGGCTCTTGAACTCTGCCTCGGACGCGCAGGACTCCCTATGCTGACGCGGTGCTCCTGCCGAGCGTTTAACTACTGCTTCGTCGTGACTTGATATCGTGCAGAATGGCCTTGATCATCTCCACAGCGGAGAAGAAGCTGCAGACGTGTCTACCGAAGCTGCTTGGACAGTCTCTGGATCTTGCGGACTCTCTGGATCTTCTGCAAGCGATAAAGGAGAGGGAGAAGGAGTCGGACAATCTCGCTTATCACTATGATATCCCTGGCTCGCGGTGTGGGCCTGAAGATGGCCCGTGGCCGCGCAAGTATGAGCGGTTGACGGAGGCGCAGATTGACAAGGAGCTGGCGCTGCTCGCGAAGCCTCAGACGCGGTCGTTCGACGAGGAACGTGGATGGAAAGTGGACAGCCTGAATTTCCAGCCTTGTCCCTCGTACAGCACTCAGGACAGGTATGTCGTGCAGGAGCTGGACATATGCGGACAGAAATGGACCTTGACCGGCGTATTCGATGGTAAGTACGCGTCATTCATAAAGGTATACCCATGTTCACGGCATGCCAGGACACCTTGGCGTTGCTACCGTCGAGCATACCCGTCATCACCTGCCTATCATCATCCGCGACTTCCTCAGAGACGCTGCCAAGTCCAAAGGCCCAAGCTCCTTAACTCCTGAGGCCGTATCAGAGATCCTCTCGCGGTCCATTCGCTCATTCGACGACGCAATCGCGGGGGACGTCCTGGACCTGTTCCCCGGCGGCCTGGAGTCGTTATCAGACATCCCCGACGCCGAGATACGCAAGATTATCAACGACCATTACCACGGCGCGTCGAATTACAACAAGGCGCGGTTGTGTATGTACGGGACTACCGCGCTCGTGGCGTTGGTCGACCCCGCTCACGAGAACCTCTGGGTTGCAAACCTGGGCGACTGTCAGGCAGGTGTGTGGTTTCGCTGGTCGATGGTTGGACACCGTCTGCTGACGCGATCCGCATGTTAGTTCTAGTAGCAAAGAGTGCCTCAGGGACTTGGGAAACGGAACTGTTGACGGAGGTCCACAACGGGGATAACGAGAAGGAAGTCGCGCGCGTCCGCCGCGAACACCCCGGCGAGCCCGAGTGCGTCGTCGACGGCAGAGTACTCGGCGCGATAGCGCCGTTCAGATGTAAGTCTTGGCTTTGCAACTTCACTATCCAGACTCGCGGGCTTACGGGAGATTAGGTATCGGCGACACGCCGTTCAAGCAGCCGCCCGAGTTCACGCGGCGCATCCTGTACAACCTCGCGCCGGGCTTCCACGACACTTCGCCCTGGGAGGAGTTCCTCGTGCGCAATCGCACGCCGCCGTACATCTCGTCGGAAGCCGATGTCGTCCACCGCAAGCTCAAGCTAGGATCTCCGTCACGTTCCTCTCGTGACCACGTATACTTGGTCCTGTGCTCGGATGGACTGACAGACCTCTGCGATGGCCATGTGGCGGAGCATGTCGCGGATGTCTGGAGACGGGAGTTCACGAGTGGAGGACCAGGTAATGATAATTTGGCACTGCGGCTGCTGAGGGCTGCCATCGGTGATAACGATACGCGGAAGGTCTCGAAGGTGCTCACGCTTGATATGGACTCCCCTTGGATTGACGATACTTCAATCATTGTGCAGTCGCTGTGAATATTGGACCCTGCTTTCTTGTTGCTATTGAAGTTGGTATGCTAGCTTACTGTCCGTTCATAATTATCTGTACTGCAGGGCTATGCTATGGGTGTCAGTGTCAAGTGTACCAGTATACCTTGTACTTGTATGTTCCTATAATTTTCATTCAATTCACATCAGGCCCAAGAAGATGTATTTGATAGGTCACTTCAAAGTTAACTATGTCATATTTTACACTCAATGGTGACAAGAGGTGGTTGAAAACATAATTTGTGAAACTCACTTTGAAATCCTTTTGACCCCCATATGCAAGACATAGAGGTGCCCCTCTCTTCCTGGTAAAACAGGTTTGATAGGGGCTAACACTTCAAGAAGCATAATGTGTCACCTGGATCACTTGGTGATGTGGCCATTGGTATTATCTGCAAAGTTGAGGAACTGTAACTTGAATTAAAACTGTTCTTTACAATGTTTACATGGGCTGATTGCTCAGAGATGCACAAGAGTACTTCTACACCAATTCACTGTAATAAAAGTAGGCTGAAGACAAAATTCAAGAGTGTGCACTTGGATGTGTGTAAGAACCCCAGACACAAGGCAGACATCTGCCTTGCAGCAATCCATATCCCCAATTCAGATCTTTACAAAGATTGCCAATTCTGAAGAGAAGAGCTCAGGAAATACCCCCAACTTGTCCCAAATGGCATCATAGGAAGGCTGCTCTTCTGGATGTGCTTTGAGATCTCCCTCCCATGCAACACAGAATTTCATCCATTGCTCTCTTGTAGCCTCAGTCGGACTTAGTGAATCCAGGAATGCTGCAACGGCAGACAATATTCCATAGCTGATAAAGGTCTGTAACAACAGGTGACTTGTGACTGTTGTGTCTTGTAGAAGCTCTGCAATCATCCTGCATGTTCTATCCTTCAACCCATATTGCTTGAGCATCAAATTGATGAGCTGCATCAGTTCTGATGTGAGTTGCCCAGCTTTGACTGTCAGGTTTGGCCACACTGCATCAAGCACAGCAAAGAGGACTTTTGTCAGAGTATGTTGTTGCCACTCTGTCAGATTTGCATTACTGGTCCAGGACTTCAACAGCACAGTTAGCTGCTCAAGAGCATCCAGTGAGAGAGATGTCATGGGTGCATCAGCTAGATAGCCCCACATGCCCTGGAAGTCTGTGAGTGGCACTTTCATCAGGATGGGATCAAGACTTGGAAGATCCATATTCAGTTGAGTTTCACAGAGCAGTGCTGTAGCGATAGAGAAAATTTCACATATCTCACAACCATGTTCTGAGTGGGCTGAGTGATTTAGCTCCCAAATCTCATTGACAAGATTTACTATCCACTTGAGGCTGCTGAGCCTCATGTCATTGTAAGGAGTCTTGGATGCCCCTGTTTCGTTATCCTTTAGGAATGCTCTTCTCTCTTGGGGTGACTGATGACTCATCATAGTGATACATAGAACTGCCTTGTGTTCCACATCCTTGCTTAGCTTATGGTGTATGCCATGGTCCAGGACCTTCAACAGTTGCAGGATGATATCCTGATCATTGATGGCACCAGTACTTCCATGTCTTTTCAATGATTTGTTTGACAAAGCATGGGCTAAGCTCCTAAGAATGAGAGACAGTGTCTTGACTGCTAGACCATTTGGGTGCATGTTATGATAGGAGAGCATCTTGACCAGATCATTCATAGGACATTTTGTATCAATTTCACCCAGGTCACACAGATCATTGTCTGGGTGAAGATAGTAATAGTAAGCTTCCGTGGACACAAGTAGGGCAATGCCATAGATAGCTTCTTGAAGTATGTGACCATCACCAACCTCCACCATGTACCTCACATCTCTGCAGAACTGCAGCCAGTCTCCATACAGCCAGGAATATGGTCTTTGTGCCAGTGATGAAGATATTGGTAGTGTACCATACAGGTACAGAGGGTGACTCCAAATTGATATCAGTATCTCCATGAAGACAGAGACTTTATTGAGTGGACCAAGGTGGTAAGGTGCTGTGTGCACCTCCCAGTGATGCCCTTGAGGCACATGTGACCTGTCAACAAGGATCTTCATAATGTCACATTCTTGCATCTTGAACATTATCACAGCACTGTCTGAGGACTCCCCAGACAAAGGGAAGCAGGAAAGTGATGACAAAGCAAGATCAGTCACTTCATTGTTGCTGGACATTTGTGTAAGCCATAGTACAATGTCAAGCTTCAAAAACATGGATGTTTTCTCAATGTCTAGCTGTTCAGAAGGCATCTTTGGGACTAGCTTCAACTTTGCTTGAGCTTCTTTTCTTGAGCTTGAGGAGATAAAATCCTGAGGATGTGATACAATCCTCGTAATCACATGCCACATCTTGATCATACATGTGTATGCCTGGAATGTCAGCCCTGTGACAGCACTCTTATAAGGGCATCCAGGGAACATGAGTGGCAGTATAATTGTGGCAGCATAGCATGATAAAAGCATAGTTGTCAGGATCAGCACTTCATAGGCTATGATCTTGTTGATCTGCCACAATTGAACTACTAGTCCAGCCAGAAACAAGGCAACTGCAGCATAGAGCAGTAGAGGCAGGACAGATGTGATGCCTGGGACATGCCACTTCACTAGAGCATTGTATCTATACTGCCTTCGCAGTGCATGATGATCAACAGCTCCACTATCCAGATTGGCTCTGTAGGCTTGAAGCCATTGTTTAACCAGGATTGCTACCATAGCTGATCCTAAGCAGCAGGTTAAGCTTGCAAACCATAGAGCATTGACTGTAAGTGCAGATACACTTGGCATAAAGTTCTCTTGGGTGGATGAGCAATGGCCTCCATTAGCCACTGCATCATTTGATGTGCCATTTGCAAGTGCCAGCTTGATATCCTGAAGTAGGTGAACCATAGCATCCTGTGGATCAGGTTGGAGGGTGGGATAGAATTGTATAATAAAAGCTGTTGATATGGCAGAGAATAGTGCAGACTAGCATGATCATAAGACTACAGAAACTCTCCAGTGTTATTTAGAGGCTTACAAAAACCAGAATAACATCCATATTTTGATTGATATGCATAGCATTTTCCTTGTCATACACTGCTGCCTCCTGAGTATAGGCACTGTAAAGCTTTTGATTCAGATCAACAGCTTAACCACTAGTTAGATTTCACATCATAATGCAGGTAACAGGAGGCATACTGGATGATGGAGGTGGCATATCTTGACCCTGTTTCACAGCCTGTTGTGCTTCTGGAGCATAGTCCTTCATTGGCCCATGATATCCTAATTGAGCATTTGCAGCTTGAGGGAAAATTGGTTCAGCTCGAAATCTGGCAAAGCGCCTAGCTCTTTCCTGGATATACTTTGTATCATGGCTGTCAATGCCAGCAGGAAGAGCCTGAGGAGATGTTGCTCCTTCAGCCTCACTATCAATGTGGCTGGCATTGGGATGTGTTTCGGTAGGCCCAGGTATTGCTTGACCTTGGACAGCACTTCCGCCAGTTACAGCTTCCTTTCCACCATCCAGATCAGATTTGTTGCCAGATTTGGTTCCCGGTGATCGAGATGGCACCAGACCACCAAGCTGGACGCTCGCAGGTATCCCCTCAAGTCCAAGATTACTGTCAGACAAGGGTGCCGGTCGAACACGGGCAGGCGAGTTCTGGTCGATGTAATCAACACTCAAGACTTGTCCCTAGCAAGCGACACGACCAATAATTTCGTTATCATCGCATTGAACGGGAACATCCATCAGTCCCAGCAGAATCGCAATATCGAATGGAACCGCGCACCTCGCGTTTCTCGTTCGCGCTTGAGTTCCCCTCAAACTCTGACCCCTTGACGATGGGTGGGTCCGAGGTATTGTGTTCCAACGTGCCAGCTGTCTGATCGTTCGTGTCAGGCTGTAGTTTCGCGTCGGTTTCACGGGAAGGGTGGTTCGAATCGCTCATATTCTCTGGCGATGTCGATGAAGGTCAAGAGAGAGAGAGGTGGGAATGGTTTGCACTGCTGTTTTCTCAGAGGGCCACTCCAAGCCCAGACTCTCCAGTCGCCATCCCAATTTGTCGCAATGTGACCGAAGAGTTGTCCGAACAAGAGCAAGGTGAAACGCCGTCGCCGAGCTCACCGATAGAATCTGATTGCTACCGTCAGCTGCAGGTTGAATGATTATTGATGCATACGTGACCAGGACGCTCACGCTCAGCCAACGCTCAGGCGTTATGCTTCATACCGTCCACGGTATCACTCGGGGCCTATCTTGCCCTTGGCCAGGGCAGATGCCAATACGAGATCGGTAAATGTTTGCAACCTCTTGGCATGCTGCTTTTCGCCGCGGGTGCGTGGCTATAAGTATCCGCTGTGCGGCATCTATAATGCTCGTGGATATGCGCATGCGCGGACGGACAGTCACCAGCGCATCATACTCGCAGAGTTCTTTCAGCCCCAGCGCCTGATGGGGCCTACGAACACACCTCTTCCTTTATCAAGTCTTAGCCAGTAGAGGTGACTATCTTCTTCATTCTCGAACACGCCTGCCCATTGCTCGGCGTACTAAGGTAATGTGTCATCACTCCCCAGCAGGAGGATTCGTGATAGTTCTGAACCGATGTCGGTGCGCACCACAAACTCTGCAGCCTACAAGCTGTCAACAAATACTTCTACCACGTTTATCTTCAGACAGAGGTTCGGCCGCACATCCTCTGCCTGCATTCGCTGACGTCTGGGTGAGTTCTAGGCAGCGTCACAACTTGAGCGTGCTCCTGTTTGTCGCGCGCATGAAATGCTAAGCGCCCACTGTGCAACCTGCACTTGCTCGCGCGCACGCTCTGCAAGGGGGACGATACTGCTGCTGCCCGCGTAGCTGATCGGACACGGAAATATTCTCGTGCCCATCCAAACGTAAGGAGTGTAGCGTCTCGTGGCGAAGTGTCTCGCGCATCTGCCGGCCGTTCATATAACATCCCTTGCAGGGTTTGTGCCTGAGTGCATTGGCCATTGACAGGTCTCATACCTATCCCCCATCAAGCGCTTACTACTCGTGCTAGCTGGCATAACTCGAAGCGGATCCTAGTCTACACATCGCCCGGTGCCCTACTCAAATCGCCAGACTCGAGGCTCTTGTCGCCGACGCCCCCGTTTGCGTGCCATGAAGCTTACAGACGCAGAACTTCCTCGCGAGCCTGACACCGGCCCTGCCTGTAGCCCCTCATCCTGCCACGGCTTGCCTCCCTATCTCTTGGTCACGACGGGTCTTCCTATTTGTCCCCGGCGACCACTTCCCGGCCCTCCGTCCCTTCATGTACGTACAAGTCTACAGAGTCCTCCATACCGTCGCAGCTCCTCGCGCAGTACAGTATCCACTGCGATTTTTCACGCAGACGAGTCTCTTGTCCACCTCCGAGAAGACCTCCACGCGCTAACCACATCCTCCCCCCTTCGCCCCCACGTACCGCCTGGTCGTTGACCTCGAAGCACGAGTACGAGGTCCCCACACGTCATTTGCGCAACACCATATCGGCGGTATGATTTTAGATATCATCATGGGTATCCTCCACAAGAACCCGATGAAAATGGAATCGCCCTGCCCTCCAGTTACTGTCAACAAGAGGCGGGTTGCTTGGTCAGCCCTGAGATAGCAGTGAGGGCGAAATGCCAGCCTCGTTAGAGGGGCAGGGTCACGAACACACGAATGGTAGACGAGTCCACTCGCCTTTCAGACTGCTGACCGGAAAGTAGATGTGATTAGCGTTGCATAATTGAGACAACAGACAGTAGTGTAAATATAGAAGTACACCCGTAGATGAGTCCGTAAGCTCCTTTTACACCCCAGTAAAGTAGAACGTCTACGAAAGGCAAATAAGTCCGTGAAGCTCCTCTGGAAACGATCCGATCTTGTCGTAAGAATTATCAAGGGTCATCGCCGGCGTACCACATAAGGTCTTCGTCGACCTCGTCATGTCTTCTCATTACGCAGCTCAGGACGATACCATCCCGACCATGGGCTGCTGCACCGGCGGCATAGACGTGGGCACAGGCCGCCACTTCATCCTCGACGGTGCCGTCTCGCCATACGCCCACTCCTCCTCCGCATCCTCCTCCATACGCTCCTCCTCATCCTCATCGCAATCGCAGTCCTGCACGTACACGCCTACGCCGCTCTCCTCCGGCTCGATGAGCACCTCGACGCTCCGCCTCCGCTCCTTGACCTGCAGCTTCTTCAGCGCGGCGATGAGGTCGTCCGCGAGCGGCGCCGCGTTCGGCGGCTCCTCCTTAATGGGCTCCCACCCGACGGGCGGGGAGCCTGGGGGTGAAATGAGGAAGTTCTTCTCGAGTGGCGGGGGTTTGAGGTGGTTCGAGTCTCCGTCTGCGCCGGGTGAGGGGAGCGACACAGGAATGGGGTCACCACGATATACTCGCAAGATCGTTTCAGGGCTGCAGGGAAGTAAATTAAATGCTTCGCTTCTCGCCAAGGTGAGAGAGAAAGATACTCACCTGTCTTTCGTCGCTTCTATGATAAGCCCGTCGCATTCCAACTTCGCCTGCTCGGCGTCGTCCTCGTTATAGTACACCAGGATCGCTCTTGCGAACGCCCTAATCGGCGCCCACGAGTGTATCGGGCCATAGCTTGCAAAATGTTCTTTTAACGTGGCGAGAACCAGCGGGTGGAAAAAGGCCGGAGGCAGCTGGGTGATGATCAGCGTGTTCGTGCGCCGCGAGCTCGGTGACGGCGAGCGCGACGAGGACGACTTGAGCGACGGCGGCGAGGGGATGCGGATGGAAAGTTCGGTGGTCATGGTTGTGTCGGACGATGAGGAGAGTGCGAGCGGAGAATAGGCGGGTGTTTGTAGTGGGGTGGGAGGAGGTGAAGGAGGATCTTATAGGCCTGCTTACGTCATGTCTAATGACCGTGGAAAGCAGTGCTTCGATCGGCTCGTGTGGCGGCTGCTGCAGGTTTCTGCCGCCACACAGCCCAAATACAACAAGTTCGGTGCCCGACAAGCCGTCGCGCACACGACAGTAGCTGTCGTTATGGCGATGAATAGATTGTCCATATGCATTGGAAAACACGATAGAAACATGTGTGAAAAAGCATTGCTACAGTGGTTTGTTAGAGTACAACAACAGCCTCGCGCGAATTTTCGCCACGCCACCCCGACTGCGTAGATCCTGTGCACATTCACTAGCATCTGGCCTCCGACCGCGCGCGCAGTCGCAAATCTACTTGGCGTGGAGAGTAAGTTTGAGGGGTTGTATGGCAAGTAAGACCATAAGGAAGCCTCTAGGACTTGTCCCGGAGGCGGTTCTCGACTTCCGCCTTCTTCTTGTTGAGTGCTTCGACCCTCTCTTCCTTGCTCGCGTCGTACGATATCGTGACTTGGTTGAATCTGTGCACACCGAGGGTTAGGTCTTGACAGAGCCAAGAGGCATGGTGCCACTCACGGGTTCTCGGGCGACTTCTGGAACTGCTTGTACAGCAAATCCTAATATGCGAGGTCAGAAGGTCGGAAGCTGTGTAACACGCGCAGATGCGCACCTGGTACTGCTGCAGTCGGAGGCCGGGGTGCTGTGCGATGCGATTCGTGAGGATCAATCGACAGAGATCGGTATCAAAACTATGCATACCTCAGCCCTGACGTTCGGCAGCTCGCGTTCCTTGTACGCTTCGAACGCAGCCTACATAAACATTCATTATATAGTTCCAAGATCTCTTAACATCGCTGACGAACCTTGAATCGTCGCTGCAAAGATCGAACCGTGGGTCAGTATCCATCCTAGAGTAACTGACACGAGACACGACGCACCTCCGGATGTCTCTCCAATTCTGCCGCCTTGCTGCCCACACTCGCCTTGTCCATCTTCGCCGTAACAACCTCCAGCAGATCCAACGCATTATCAATACCTGTCGCCGAGTAGCTCTCAGGTTCCTCCTTCTTCGTCGGGTCGGCGAGTCCACCGCCCGCAGCGATCGCTCCTGGCCCAGCCGGCTTCGGCGCAGGCTTGTCCTTCTTCCCGCCAGCCTTGGGAGCAGCCTTAGGCTTCGACGGAAGAGACGCCTCCTCCTCAGCCAGGAGCCGTGCGGCCTCTGCCTTGCGTGCCAGTTCGGCTTGCCGCCTGGCCTCTTTCTCTTCTTTGCTTCTGCTAGTTTTCGCGCCGTCTTGCCATTGCTCTGCCTCCTTCGCCTCCTGAGCGCCACTACTGGTGAGATGGAAGGCATGGTTGTGAGCGGGGGTAGACGAACCTTGGCTGCAGCTGCAGCAGCCTGCTTCTTGTTCTCGTTCTCCGCCTTCTTGGCCCGACCGGCCTCCTTCTTTGCGTTTCCTCCCTTCGGCGCCATAATCACAGATATTCAAGACAAACCTGGTTGATAAACTCTGAAATATCCAGGTAAACCGGAAGAAACACGCAAGCCTCGCGGTGGTGGTGAGTCGCAGAGGATGATCTCAATTATCTAATCTTGGACGTCCAGGACCGATTACCCCGGTTTAGGCTCCCTTCCAGCCTTTCTAAGACAGGCTACATGTACCGGTAAGCAATACTGGGAAGGAGTCCGGTGTCGAAAACAAGTCCCGGTAAATGCCGATTCAGCCTCGTTTATGATCGTGGCTGTGCATCCGATTGAAAGATCCATCAGGCGGCGTTGAAGGCTTACGGTCTGCAGGCGGGAAGCACTGCTTGACTCGGTGCTTCTTCTTCTTATATACGCCTGTATACCACTCACTACCGATCCTTTCAATCAATCCCGGATTTACTGCTGCTAAACATCTTTTACGCTTGAGAACACGCTATCGCTATGGCTGAACAGATTGGGAAGTGGTCCCCCGGGATGTCTTGTGAGTCCTAGCGTCCGATGTTGTTGAGTGCATCGTTCACGGAACGCTACCGCTCAGATGGCCCGGTGCTTACTCAGACGGACTTGTACCTCCTCAAGAGCGAGCTGCAGCTGCATCCCGTGCTCACCGACTCGCACCCGACCTTCCATCTCGTGTTCAATCTCTCCACAGGTGTGTAATACATCCGCGTGTTTCTTGGCTCGTAACGGACTTGGTATGATCAATGCGTTTAGGCCAGACGGGCGGCTTCAACCCAGACGCGTCGGATCGCGACCTGCCCTTCTCGTGCAAAGACGAGCCAGCGACGCTTCCGCGCGTGCAAGAGCTCATCCTGATCACCGAACACAGCCCGTGGTGCACCATCGTCAAGAACGAGCGCGGCGTCACGCTGGGCGACATCTGCGCCACCGTCTGGAAAGAGTGAGCAGTGGTGTAGCTGCGAAAATTGCGAGGGTGCAGTGCTAATTCCGGGGCGTGATAGGTACACAGAGAACTACGTCACGGACTCCGAGTTCGCGGCGCTGCCCCCGCGGCTGCAGGAGCACGTCCGAAGGACCGCGGCGCATAACCAGCATTCGCAGCAGGGCGGCGCGTGGAACCTGTATTACTCGCCCGCGCCCACGAATACGCGGATGAGGCGCGTCGGTAAGTTTTAACCCATTTGGTAGACACCGCTCCGCTGACGTTACGATAGATTGGCTGAGGGAGCGCGTATTCTTCGATAGTCTTGTCAAGAATGACAGCTACTCTGTCTCGCGGCTCGGATTCAAGGCGCCGAATATCTTTTGCATGAAGCTATCCAGCTAGATTCCCACCTATCGCGATGGACTCTGGAACTTATTCCGTTTGTACCAGATATCTACCTCCCTCTTGTTTCCACCGCAACGACCTCCATGTATCACTACTCCAGATCTATGTACCTATATCTACTACATCCATATCTTGATCTATACTTACATTCCCCGCGCTGCGATCGATACGATTCGGAGCGATTACAGGCGGTACATTCTACACCGGTACCTTCTTTCGCGGGGACAAAAGAAAGGCATCTGATAATTCACTGCTATATGGAGTATGCGCAGTGATTATCGGGTTATCGGAAATTACAGCTGCAGTTCTACGGCGATCCCCTCTATAACGGGATACTAGGGGAAGCTGATACGTGCTCCTATAATTCCAATATGAATGTTTGTTGCCAGATGTACTGGTCATATGTTTCGACTGTAGTAGGTCTAGTCATTCACTACTTGACTCGTGATCATTCCAGATTTCTGTAATTTGCTCGTGGTACAATATATCCCAACTTGTATGGTGCATGGACGGCTCCGAGAGGTCTGTGGCGGAAGCAGGCTAAGATTCCGCCAGATGAATTCGCGACACGCTGCCAACCAAGCCACCCTCACCGCCACCGAATGGCATCGAATCCACATGGTGAAAGTCTGTGAGGCATCGCGAGGTCGTGCAGGCCGTCCTGGGGTTGGTAATTTCTTGTTCGATTTCCCCTGCTATCAATGTTGATTGGGGAGACTGCTGGGCTCCGTTTATTATATTCTATTGCTGAGGCTCAACCTGGGTTCCTTCATCATTTGAATCCGCTTTCCTGACCGGCTCGCAAATGCAAAGTTGCGCACTACGCTTCGGTCGACCGTGGAAACTACTGCGCGCCGCTGCGTCACGCTTCTTCCCACGTCCCGGACCTTGAGTGCCTGCTGCTGTTGCAATGGTACAGCCCATGCTATGACTCAATCACGCACGCCCGCAGACACACCCACCCACAATTCCAGCCACGACGACCACCAATACCCGCCAGAAATTCTGCTCTAGCTTGAACGGAGGGCATCTGACATACCCTGCGCCCAAGCCGCCATAAAAGGCTCCCTCGGTGGGTATAGCAGCGCTCCAGATATTTCCGGAACAGCTTTAGATTTGGGTTCGGAAGAGCTGAAATTTGTTGAACCAGGACATCGCCAAAACGCTCGCAGCGGCGGGCACACTGACTTGAGGTGCGTGCTAGCCAGACTTGTTTCGTTCGAGAGCACGCTTGGCTGAGTAGCGTGTACCGGTGCGCATAGGAATTCCCTTTCCAGGGCAAGTTCTCGCCCGAGTCACAGCAATCACACCGTACTTGGTCAGTACTCACTCACCCTGCCTCGGCGTCTCCATGACTCAGTCAGTCACGCCCCACCGCCGCCAGCGTAGCCCTTTCCCCGTTCATATCAACCCAAAATGTCGCTCGAAGGCACCCCGTTCATCCCACCGATCTCCCCTCCCCAAGACCCGCGCACTCCGGGTCAAGTCCGTCCTCCCGTCCTCCCCTCTCCCGCGCAGCTCAGCGACGCCCCGCTTCCAGGCTGGGCCAACGCCCCCCAATCTCCTGCCAACTACCCGCAGTTCTACCCAGGTCTGGCGTCGCCGTACGGGGCAACTCCATACATCCCGGCGGCCTACCCGCCCGCCGGGATACCCCCTGGGTCGTATTTCCCGCCGCCTGTCGCCCTCCCCCAACTCCAAGTCAATGGGCGTTCCCCCGCCGCCCATCCTGGTGGGCTGCCTCCCGATTACTATGCGTATGCAGCAGCGCAAGCTCAGGCGGCGGCCGCGGCGGCATATGGGTTCCCTGGGCATCCCGGCACAGGTTACGTACCCTTCCAGACACCGCTGCCCCCCGTAGGCTACGGGTTACCGCCGCCGGGCCCGCCGCCGCCTGGGTGGGGCGCGCCGCCGGCAGCGTCGCCTTTCTCACCTGGGTGGGGCCCGCTTCCCGGCGCACCCCCGCCACCGGCACCCCCGGCCCAGCCTGCTGCCCCTGCCGAAGCACCCCCGAGCCACGTGATGGAGGATCGTCTGCTGCCCAAGGATGGGAGCACCCTGATTTCCCGCTTCGCTGTCGGAAGGCACTGTGAGTTCCTTTATTTTCTAGGTGGAATTGTACTGACCAGTGGTGCAGACGGGCCGATCCTCACGCCCTTCATCGCGCGAGTTGTCGAAGCCCGCATCGAGCTCAACCCCATCCTGCTCCCGCCAGGGGACGATGCCGAGGACTATCTCACCTGGAACATGCTCTTCGACTCTGCGTACTGTCAACGCCGCAGTGAGCCTACCGGCCGCTCGTGGCTCAAAGGGCGGGACCACCCCGCGACCATCCCGCGCCTTACCTCGATACGCCTCATCCTGCAAGGTTTACCGTGGGTTATCACCATCGACGCCACCGACGACTCGACAGGGGTCACGTGTGGCGAGATCATCGACAAGCTCAGCGACTTCCTGCACAAGGCCGTCTCCAAGTCTGACCACGACAAGCTCACGAAGGAGCAACAACAAGCGCACCTCAAGACGTATTACCACAACCGTTCCGCATCGGACGGCGTTCCCGGGGGCCGGCTCGGCCGCCCAATGATGCGCCTCGACTGGCTCGGCGACAAGACGATGTTCGGCGGCATCGCGATCGACGACGAGTACGTGAAACAGGTATGCGGCGACGTCCTCCCGTGCACATTCGTGGTGCGCTGCGAGAAACGCTTTATGATGACCGAGGAGGAGAGGAGGGAGCACGATCATTTGGAGACCCTCATTGAGCATGAGAGGCCGCGGTCCGCCGCCAGCAGACCACGATCTAGGGCGACGAGCACTCATAGCAGGGAGTGATTGCTCGTGTCTCAGGCTGTCTCCAAAATGATTGGCCGGCGCTGCTCGCGCCCATACCCCTCTTGCTCTATCATATACCATTCGGCCTTATGACCGGCTGATCGTCGTTGCCGAACTGAACGACTTTTCCATAACTGTATGACATGGCTCTGCATGCTCATCTCATCTCTTGAATATGTTGTACCTAAATATCTCGTTGTCTGTTCTGTCGTGTGTTATCCTAGAGTATCTTCAGCTGTAGAAGTCAGTCGATATCGTCTACGCCTGTATCACATATTTCTCTTTTCGGGACTTTATTGTACTGTACGCAAGAAAGTCATTATAACAATGAAAATCGTTTACATGACTCGGGACGGAGCATGAGCTTGATTCAATACTCAATTTCCAAGACCGTCCACGATGTGCAAGGGATGATCGAACGGCGGCAGCAGCCATCGAACCTCCAGCGAAAGGACTGCCGCTAGATCTAGCAGAAACATCACACTGGACTTCCCTGTTCATCCTCGACACGGAACGGACACGCACGTAGGTTCTCCCGAATATCAGACATTCGCGCATCATAGGCTCACTCGTTGTCGATTGGCCCACTGTTTCCCAGCGCCTTCCTACTGAGAACACTGGCAGTCCCACGCCCTTCAAAGCGAGGGCTTGAACGCGCGCGTACGGTAGGCAGCTGTTCCAGGAGCAATCGATTCCCTCTCGGCTCGGACGCTCCCATTACAAACTAGGTGATCCTCGGGAGTTGCAGGCGCCAAGGAAAATTGTACCAAGACCTCATAGAAGTAATCCAGCGAGTCAGGAGCGGACACGACTCGTCGGACTCGAGGAGCGTCTGCATGGTGGGGTCACTTTCATACCAGATACGCGCATGCCGATAGTTGTTGTCACTGCCCGACTTTTCGTTACTACTCTTCAAGTTATTTGTTGCCTAACACGCGGGAATCTTTCCTTGATGAGCCAGAAGGTGCTTGCAAAGCGCCATGGCCAGTGGCAACCTGGACCAGTCACCAGCGGTGAGCACGGACAGCTTCGAACCGATTGAAGTTGCCACAAAACGTAGCCACAAATAGGCACAAATACATGTAATAGGCGAAATCTATGCTGATCTTCGTCCCTAACAGCCTTCAAGCTTCAAGTGCAAAACTGAATATATGTGACGGATATTGGTGGAAGGGGGAGATCCACCCGATGATATTAATAGCCTCCTCAGACGAGCACCGTCTCAGGTCGTATTTCGTTCATGACTGTTATTGTCCCTCGCTGCCCGCGGCTCGCCTCTCCCGCTGATCTTGCCCCATTTCCATCCCTTACACTGGCATTCACTAGAAGCCGTCATCGCCTACGCTTTTTTAGTCACCATCCTGGTGCTCCGTGCCAGACGAACCTGGGGAACGGTGAACTGTACAACTGGGAGAGACGAGGGAGCGGCACCGGAGAATCATACCAGACTTCCGTAGTCATCCTCGAATCGGAATGAACAAGAACGTATGTTGTCTCGAAGATCAGTCCGAAAGTCGAGGTAGTCGCGCACAGTAGGCTCCGCCCGATGGTAATCGCCGATCCAGCGCCTTCCTACTGATATTAATCGCACTACCTGCAAAGCAGGTGCTACAATAGTTGGCAAAATTTGAAGAAGCCACAGACATCTATCCCCGCTGGGCTTTGAAGCTCCGATTGCAAGGTGGGTGATCCTTGGGAGGTGCAGACTAGCTTGGAGGCCTGACCACGATCGTAGAAAGATAGCGAGGCGTGTCAGCAGCGGACACGATTCGCACAGCATTTCCGTGAATTCTGGTGTCAAAGTGAAGTTTATGTGCGCAACAATGGTTGTCAATGTCCGCCCGAGACCATGCTCAGTAGACCGCAATGGCACGGGCAAGGATGGTGAAGGGAGATTGATGTCGACTTCCAGCTTATGGAGAGACGGGAGATGGGTGTGGTCGAGCATCGGGAAATCGATCGAATGGGGCGTGGGGAGCCTGAGAGAGAGTAATTCCGGGAGAATGACGGCCTCTGGTTGTGGCGGGGGTGTATCGCCCGCCACTGTTGTATGTGACTCAAGCAGCGGTCCGATATGCAAGTGGCGCAAGCGGGGAGTACTGGTAAGGAAATGCATCAAGGGAGCATACAATGGGCGCCTCGGGGAAGAAAGGATCTTAAGCACTCGAAGGGACTGCCATGGTTTGGGACGAGAGGCTCGCTTGCCAGTAGTCGGGTGGAGATATGCAGAATAATCACAAAAGGCGGGATACTCAGCGAACGAAAGGATCTGTAGGGTTTCCCGAACAAGCTTTAGGATGGCAGCGAAGAAAATCTCCCGGGTATGACGCAGGCCCCCACGCAAGTCAAGGCGGCGGATGTACGAGCGCAACGCGACATTGTTACAGGTGGATCCCTCCAGCAAGGTGCGATGGAGGCAGGTGATGCTGCGGCCATTACGAATAACGACATACCGATACAGAAATGGAGTAGCGACGGCTCTCCATACCTGGCATACTCGTACAGCGGCGCACGCCCATCGTAGATCAGGTATAGGGTCCTCGCGCCAGGGGTCCTTGTGACCTGCAGCGAATGGATCTGGACTGTCCGCGTCCATCCAACCTGGCACGAAGGTCAAGATATCGAAGATCTGCATCCATATCTCCGTAGGGAGTCGATATTCGGTGCGGCTGGAGTCCTCGTACGACTCTGCTTCCACGGCAGCGTCTGGGACAATATTCTTGGCGTCCATTGAGCAGCCACCTGTTGCCGATTCGGCAGACATTGATAGAGCTGACTGTTCTGAAGATCCAAGTTGCGTGATGCACTGCAGGTTTGGTCAGCTAATCACTAGAAAGTCGAATGCATCAGAATACTGCAGCAAAATAGATATGACCACGTTACGTGAAGTCGTACCGTCGAAGAGAGGGGGAGCGCTTGGAGCTCGAAGACAAGTGGTACTGTAGAGAGGCACCTGCTTCTCGTATCCGGCCATCGCCGGGCGTGTGCCTTCTGATTTGAGGGCAGCTCTCGGTCAACCAAACGAATGTACTACTGAAAGTCTAAATAATGCTGCAGAAATACTACGTTCCCCGGGGAGCGGTGAGCGATGAGCGCCGAGAGATCGGAAAACATCTGCAAGTCAACGTTCAACGGAGCAGCAGTTGCCACAAAATCCAGCTGCAAACAAACACAAATACTGGAGATGCCACACTTGCCGGTGGTATAATATCTCAAAGACGTCGACTCCAGTGTTTCGGGTAATCGTAGAGCCAGACAGGATTTCGTTCCGTTCCATCAACTGCGAATACTGGCCGGAAATGGGGAAGAGAGTGGCCGAAAGGCTGATGCGGACTCGGATATGCAAGGAACACCAGGTCCAGGAGCATAACATTTTTCTATAACAAAGGGTCTCTCCAGACTTTGTAGGTAGGAAAATGTTCTCCCAGCATTCGCACGAGAGTTCAATGTCCCATCTCGGAATGTTTGTCTACGTCCGCGGTGTATATATCGGTACTCGTTCCGTCGGTAAGCTTAGACTCTTCGGAGTCTCCAAGAGTCAAAGACTGCAAACCGCCACTCCAAATCCAAACTATGCATTGCAAGAGCCCCCAGTCTCCGCAACACACACAAAGCAATATGTACCCGACATATACAATACGGCGCCCTAGCACGCTCATTACACCCACGCTGAGCGCAAGTATATATGATAGCATATCATGTCATGACCGGCGTGAACGATAAACAGAGAGCGAGGTGAGTAAAGAATGAAAGCAACGAAGCAAATCTGGCTGTTCATGAAGATATAAATGTGGTGTGGTATGGGAGGAAGAATGCGGATATGAGACTTGCTTGCATTGCGTCGGTCAGTGTTGGGTGATTGGTCACTATCTTGATCCGTGGTCCCTGTAGTTAGTCGCCTTAATGAGTGAACGGGTCGTCGTCAATGAGAATCGTGGCAAGGAAGGGGGCAGGGCGGGAAACCGAGGCTTTAGAGCTCCTCGGTGATGGCGACGGAGAAATCCGCAAAGTAGACATCCTGGTCCTTCGGGGACGCCCAATCCGGCGTAGATCCTAAGAAAGTGTCACCATCAATCATCGAATCCGTTCGCACCACATTACACCTACCTCCAAAGAACGTCTGCATCATAATCCCCCTCAACCGTCCTGCGTCCGAATTCCTCAGGACGAGGCCCCCGACCTTAAACATACTCTCCCCATTCGCAAACAACTCGAGTTCCCCATTCTCCTGCCCAGCATCGTTCAGCCTCACGCGCTCGCCAATCGTCGTCCACGCGCCCGTGGCAAACGTGAACGACCCGCGCGCAACGGACGCGCCGTACGTGGGGTTGCACTCGCTCTTCGGGGCAACGCCGCACACGGCGTCGTTCGCCTTGAACGACGGCGGGAGGTACGTGTACATCTCGCCCGCGCCGCCCGTGCGCCACATGAAGCGCGCGGACATGCACTCGTCGCTGCGGCTCCCGCCCGAGCACGAGATCGCGCCGCTCGCGCTGTTCCCGCCGTCTGCCCCGTAGTCAGATCAGTTTCGCTTGCACGAGGGAAGGTCACTCACAGAGCCCGGGGAGCTTTCCGCCCTTGACGAACTCGAAGCCGTCGGGGAAGTACACGCGGTAGCTGAGCGTCGCCTCCTTCGCCGTGGTCAGGTCGACGTCGCTCGGCCCGGATGCGTAGAACGACAGGCCGCCCCGCGGGTTCTTGGACGGGATGTACGAGCCCTTGGGGTAGTGCGCCTGCATCGCCGTGCCAGAATCAGTGTCCGGGGCGGCGACATAGTTGTGCGACAGCGCCGCGATGAGGTTCTTGGGCTTCAGCGTCGCGTCCGACAGGGAGATGGCGCTGTCGGACGCGGAGCAGGTGGTCCAGGACTTGCTGCCCTGGCCCGCGGGGAACAGCAGGTCGAGAGAGCACCCGGATCCCGAGGACGCAGTTGAGTTGCTCTTGCCGGACGTCGAGGAGCTCAGCGTATTCGAGACAGCCTTGGACGTCGCAGCCTCCCTCGCAGAGGTCGAGCTCGCGCTCGCGCTAATAATAGCAGACGCAGGCGTCTCGGTGTCATTGACAGCACGGGGAGCACAGGACTTGCGCTTGATGATCCGTTTGGGAGAGTCTATCAGCGCGGGAGAGGCGACATCTCGCCTCTGCATCTCGCGCCCCATCCTGCGGTGCACTCGGGACCGGGCGTGTATGCCATGATTACCAGAATCGGCGGTGGTGGTGGAGAGCGCGCAGAGGAGCGCGACGACGGCGAAAAGAGTGTGGGTGGCGTGCATGGCGACTTGTAGTGGTCGTAAGGGATGGAAGTGGGGGTGAGGACCAGGAGGAGAGGTGAGGGGGCATAAAAACGAGGCAAATGTATTCTGACGTCGTCACAGCCACCTTCCATTCCGCACGTGGATATCCTCTTGGCACGACGCGTTGACCTTAAGGTTGGGTAGAACAACAGTGTCGACCAACTACAGAGAAACTTACAGTGAGATTTGAGACAGGAATTTGAATATTTGAAACCCTTACCTCGCGTTGCGCATTGCAGGAGTGCTGGTGTAGGCAGGTAGCTGTAGTCCTTTTTTCTTGATCAATAAGTACTGCCAGTGCGGAGGCATCGGGCCCACCTGGATTGGAGAATCGCACATAATATACACAGTTTCAGCAGTAGAAATGCCCACGACGCTGCGCAAGTTAGCATTTACGTGTAGACAATTATGAGCGACCGGGTCTCAGACGGACTGGGTTCAAATAGGAGACGGAGGAGACGGAGGGAAGAGGAGAGAGAAGGGTCTTGTAAATATCGACAAGGTTCTCCCTCTTATATGGCAGACTGCCAGAGGCTTCGACGCAGCTACAACTCATGCCACATGCTATTCTTCATGGACGAGTCTGAAGTAAACCACATAAGGCGAGACTCGTTCCGAAATAGGCAAGTCTCCAGACGTACAGTGGCAAATACACGAACATGGCATGTCTATCTGCGTAGACTTTCTCCTTCCCTCGAGTTCGACCAACTCTAGTAACATATGTACGTGAGACGGCTCTGACTTCTACATCTCACCGGCGCTGAGACCTTCGGGACTCGCAGCACCGAGAGTACTATTCGTCCCCGCGCCGGAGGCTTGGGTATCCCGCCAGTCGAATACCGAGCAAGGGGTGCACAGCAGCACATAGTTCTCTCACGAAGGAGGAAGGCTTTGACCCTCGGTGATATCCGTCGTGTCTGCGGATATCACTATGGATGCATCCTGCAATATTGCAAACATCATGGTCACGCAACGTTCATTCCAAGTCTAAGTGACCTCCGTACATATTGTTATTAATATCATCATCGCCAACCTACAGTTACTTCTCAGCCGAGAGGATACATCCATATTTCGCTACGAATACAACGACGTGTAAACCTGGAGCGGATAAATATAATAATTACGAGACCTCTAGCTAACGAGCGACGAAAAACAGAAGGAGCGAGAATAACAGCCTTCCAGCCACAGCGAGACAACATGCCCGATACTCAAAGAGAGACGACAGTAGCAACACAACACGACGACGAGCCAATTCACCATTTCCTCAGAGCGTCTCCGTGATCGCCACCGACAAGTCAGCAAAGTAGACATCTTGATCCTTCGGGGAAGCCCAATCCGAAGTCGAACCTAGATTCCAATCGCTCACCATTAGCATCACCCCCACTTTCAGATCACAAACTCACCCCCGAAAAACGTCTGCATCATAATCCCCCTAATCCTCCCCGCACTCGAATCCCTCAACACCAACCCCCCAACGTTCACCACACTCTTCCCATTGACAAACAACTCAATCTCCCCATTCTCCTGCCCAGCATCGTTCAGCCGCACACGCTCGCTCACGCTCGTCCACCCGCCGCTCGCGAACGCAAACGACCCGCGCCCGACGCTCGCGCCGTACGTCGGGTTGCACTCGCTCTGGGGCGGGACGTTACATACGTTGTCGTTGGCGGGGTACGACGGCGGGAGGTACGTGTACACCTCGCCCGCGCCGTCCGTGCGCCACATCATGCGCACCGAGAAGCACGCGTCGTTGCGGCTCCCGCCCGAGCACGAGATGGACCCGCTCGCAGAGTCGCCGCCGTCTGCCCCCGTTCAGCATCCACACAACTGCCCGCGAGAACGGGAAGGAAGGCAGACTCACACAGCCCAGGCAGCTTCCCGCCCTTGACGAAATCAAACCCAGCGGGGAACCACACGCGATACCCAAACGTCGCCTCCTTCGCCGTCGTCAGATCCACGCCCGCCGGCCCGGGCGCATAAAACGACAGCCCCCCCTGCGGCTGCTTGCTGGGGATGTACGACCCCTCGGGGTAGTGCGCCTTCAGCGCGGTGTCCGCCCCGCCGTCGGGCACGCCGACGTACGCGTGCGGCAGCGCGGCGATGTTGTTCGTGGGCCGGAGCGTGGCGTCGGAGAGGGGGAGGGCTTTGCTCGTGTTGGGGCAGGTGGTCCACCATTTGCTGCCTTGGCCGGAGGGGAAGAGGTAGGCCATGGTGCATTTGGTGGCGCGGGGTTCGAGGTGCGGGAAGGCGGACGTGGGGGGCATGGACGTTTGGGCGGCTAGGCCCAGCAGAATAGTTGAGAGAGCGTTGAAGGGGGCCATTTCTGCAGGAGGGGACGGAGGGGATGCGTGCAGACATCAAATACAGGCCTATATAACGTTTCCTTTGCTCGCAGCGTGCTTCGTGAAGTGCAGCAGCATGCACCGGTGACCGGTGGGCAAGATGGCTGATACTTCGCCGAGATGGAAACCCAGTGAACGAGCAGTATTTCACAGCGCAAGGTGGTGCACTACCGCCAGCACCGGTGCGAACGCCACGAGGGGGAACGTACTGCATCTGCAATCCTCAGCGAGAGTAGTTCGGGAGTACGTGCGAATACAACGCTCGTGCTATCGATATCAAGTTGGCTGCAGCGTGCAACATCGGCTCTATCAACCCTCTGCAGCCACGTTATCCCCTCGCGGCTTTGGTTCGACCGACGACGCCGGATTGGTAGGCCTGGAGGATCGTACTTGATCGGCAAACCGGGGAAAGTACCACAAGGCCTTGAATAGGGTTTGAGTTCGCCAGATGCTGCCGCGATGCTCTTCGAAGGCTCTGCGTCGCACGAATGCGGATAGTGCGAGGCGGAGCATCCGAATAACCATCGAGGAAGCATGGCTGCTTTCACTCGTTCCAGATACTTTCATCCTGAGGTTCAATGAAGCCTAGTAAAGAGCGAATTAGCGGTGGAGTATGGCGTATGTCAATCTTGGTGAAGTAGTAAAGTCCAAAGAGAAAGCACCCGGAGTCCCGGACAATGCCCGGCCGGAGAATGACTGACATTTGCCTATTTAGGAACGTTGCCCTCGACAGCCTGTCTTTGTTACTTGTCCGAAGGAGCCTTACTGCCATTATAGAATGGAACAGCATGTGATATATGAAGGCAACATGAAGGGGATGACATTGGATATGACTTATTACAAGTGAGCGATCCCCTGGAATTCGCATTGCAATAGACGGTACTTTCCAGCTAGAACTTGGAACCGTAACTACAGTACGTTCCTTTCAAGTTCCTCTCAACTTCTACTGAAAACGGTGTCGCTTCAGAGCATAAGACTATATAGTCTTGCAATTGGCTGTGTATCCGGATTCATTTCCGTAGGGGTCTCGCCACTGCCTGCTGATAAGCACACTGAACGCAGGACTATTAATATTGGGTCGGATACCTATCTAAGACAGTGGTGAACCCTGCAATGTATCTATTGCTTTTCTGCCGTCTTGCATTGCGCGCCACGCAGTATGGACTGGGCCACGGAGAAGCTCGAGCGCACAGTACTATATAGGACCAATCTCCAACATCTACGTCGATCTTCGGAGGGAAACCGGCCCAGTCGATACCTGGGTCCGTTGCCTCAATTTTCAACCGTATCGACCGCTGTACAGACCTCCATACTGCAGACGGGTAATACTGCCTCCATCGGTGGCATAGCCGTTCCTTGGATGGCTGGAATATCTACGTGTGGCCTTGAACTGACGGGATCGCTGCTACGCCTTCCGTCAGAGGACGACGAAGCAACGTGAGTCCGATTCATTATCGCTTGGAGAGAATTACTGGTAATACGATGGTCCGCCTCTTTATTGACGCTATCCTCCATCGACCTACCGTAGGGCACGCGCTTGCTCACAGTATGCATTAACCTTCACACCTTCAGGCCTCAGGCAAATACACATTCAATGACAGACTTCCTATTCAACTCCAACGGCTGCACACTCGCGTCCTATGCCGTAACACCGATCTGGCCATCGAACATTGTCACTGAAGACATGAGTTGGAAGAACAGGAACGATGTGCTAGACTTGTGCTAATGACAGGTGACCTCGAGATGCGGTATAGCACCCCGAAGCCAGATTAATTGTAGCAGGTGCCATTTATCTAGTGCGTGAAAGCGCTTTGCTCTTCCGGAATAATTGACGACTTACAGCAACCCCGTTTCGGCGCTACGGACGGCATCCGGGTAAGGCAAACATGCCAAGGCAGGTCCGTGTCGTCTGTGTGATTATCTCCATGGATAAAGACTCTTCCCTCCACAGGGAGACGGTTAAGCGCGTCGCTCTCGAGTACTCGTCGTCTTGCCTTCAGCAAAAGTTCACTCCACCTATACACGACGGTGTGCTCCGTCCGTCATCAAGACGGAACATCCGTTGACCTTCCGAGCGATGAAGTACATCGTCTACCTTGTTATCGGCTGCGCGGACCGTAATTCCGACTTTGGACTTCCCATTGTTCCCCTTTTGCGTGGAGAGGGCTTCGTCGCAGGCCCGATCAAAATTCGTTGCACGAAATGAATGGGTAAGCGATGGACTGACAAGGTTCTACAGGCACTTCTGTATGTCTGCATCACTCTTGGGGTGCGTACAAACACCGCTCGCAAAAGCAGGTGAGTCTTGCAATATTCTAGCTCGGGTCGCTGGTGCTGGAACGCTAGGTCGAGAGACTCAATAATTCGAGAAGCCACCGAGGGAAGGAGGGGGGACATCCCACAGGGTCATCAGGCCCAGATCTACCCTCTGCTCTTCGAAGAACTTCTTTGCGAACACGTGGCGGCGTTGAGTGCCCATTGAGGAAGGTCTGATTCGCCTTCCATCACGGTGCGGCTAATCTCCGGCGCGACATCACATCTATCGATGCGGACTTCGAATGACGGAGAACAAAGGAGCGTATAAGTAGCGATGAGATGCGATCATCCGGCGGCGCGGTTTTCCTTTCAACCCCCCCCCCCCTCGCATCGTCACACTCCTTTCATTAACGACTTCACGACAATCGAACAAGATACAAACGAGATCGCGACATTATGCCGTTTAGGAAGACGAGGAAGAAACTTGCGAAACGGATCAAACGCCTCTTCGGGAAAATCGTGCCACCCCCCAAGGATGCAGCTCCCCCTCCGGATTTCGATATAGTACCGGCGTGGAAGGAGACCGCGGCCAATCGGGTCCCTGTTGAAATATTGATGAAGATAATCGAGGAGGCGACTGACGTCCCAGGCGCTCTGGACGCGGTCGTTTTCATGCCAAAATTCTCCAAGGAGAACGAGCTCTACTACCTCAAACTGGCGAAGCGGACTGCGCTGTCGATGGTCCAGGTGTCGCGGGTCTGGAAAACCATGGCTACAATCTATCTCTACCGGATCATCCGCCTGAACAACGAGGAGCAGGTCCCCCTGCTGGCACGCACCCTCGCCGATCCGATAACTTGGCACTACGGCTCGTATGTCCGCAGGTTGGAGCTCACTATGGGGTGTTTCGGCTTTGCTTCGGAGTCTCTTCCGAGGGTGATCAGGTCCATGCCACTGCTGCAGATTTTCCGGTGGAGACATCCCGAGCATCTACGGCCCCTGGTCGATCGGCGGTCATTCCGCCGCCCGGAATTTGTGGACAGCGTTCTACGGGAACTGCCTCCGACCCTGCGAGCCTTGGATACTATCCGTGCCTTGCCAATGTTCGATTATACTGGTGTGCGGGTGTTACTTCGTAACCTGCCATGTCTTCAAACACTGAACGTCGAGTCTGCCGGCGAGTTCGTCTCGGGCGTTGACACTGACCTGCGCAGCTTGTGTTCCATTGATCTCTCGCGAACGAAGCCCCTTGTCATTCTCAATGAGGACGAGTTGCCCTCTCTAGTTCAGCTGGAAGACATTGTCTACCCTCACCCGGTGGCGCCCGACCCGCTCGACCCGTTCGACTGGACGCCCAATGAGAGGCCTGAGCGGCTTATCATCCTCCTGGGCGATCACTTTCGCAAAATCCGCTCGATCATTCTCCGTGTCGATGAAAACGCTCGGATGATGGACGTGGGGCACTACGTGGACATCATAACCCGAAAAACGCCGAACTTGGTAAACTTAACCTTGATCCTTCATAAGTGGAGTCAGTTTCCTCCCAACTTCCTCTTGCGGAATGCGGTCTACCTCGGGTTCGGCCTGGTGGACCCAAGGGCAATCAAGCATGCGCCCGAGGGCGAAGACGATGGCAGATATTGGCGGTTCTTCCATTCGCTGAGTTGGGTCAGATTTCTCGGCGAATTTCAAGCTATCTATTTTCTCGATGATGCTCTCTACTACCACGCCAACTGGATCTACCACAACACTTGGGATGATGTCGCCTCTGAGATCAGGCGTTTCCGTTATGAGATATTGTTCCGCGATGGAACCACTCTGGTGCCGGAGTCTCTTGAGAACGTGCACCCTACTCCGCCTTCTGTCCGCGTGCGGAATACCATGGACACCGTTCCACTGCGCGACAAGCCTCCGTTCCAATTCAGTCCTGAATTCCAAATTGAGGGATAGCCACTGCCGGGTTGCGACCCTTTTCATTGCTCCAAACGATTTCTACTCACGACCGGGTAACGACATTCTGATTTTCTATCTCTTGGATTATTGGCAGAATTAACAAAGACATGTGCGATACTTGATACACGAACGTAACGTACACATACGACAGAGACATGCTACAAAAGAGTTTACGATAGCTATGATTACACAGAATTGAATGCGAAGGTAACGATACCATCTAAACGCGTCCATCGTCGATCTCGTCCGTGGCCTCACCAAAGGTGAAACTGGGCCGCTTCCTCTGCAGTATGTAAGGCGAGTCCGGTCCAGCAACCCCAGGAGGGACACCAGTGGTCGGGCTTGAAGTCCACATAACTCCAGGGCCAAGGCTCCAGGGAGAAGCGACCTTCGACCTACTGCTCTGGGTGCATTTCTGACCGTAATCCAAGACAGCTCGGTACAACGCGCTGTTGAATCCGACACACTGCAAGCCGATGCAAGCCACTTTCAGACAACCAGCCGAGTACAACTGGCCGGTCTCATAGATATTCGCAGGGGAAGTGTTCTTGCGCCCAGCCAAGGTCTCCTTGAGCAAGGCTTGGCTCGTCTACAATTACGAGTTGAAATATCATACGACGAGCATGTATGTGATAGCTTACACACCTCGGTCGAGAGGCTCTCCCATTCTTCGAGAGTCAAGTCCGCAAGACGGAGAGCCTTGTATACCCCAGCGTAATACCACTTCCCATCCTTATTATAGAAACATTCTGCTAGGACCGTTAGAAGATGGCAGTAACTCTGAAGAATCGCTGAGACAGTCGCGTACCAGTCGGATTGATCATTTTGCCAACAGGATCCACAAGTTTCCACCCATGAGCGGTGGCGACTCGGGGGTTCGTATAGCATCTGTATAAGGGCGTAAGGAAGTAGCCGTGCTCTTCGCGGTCGGGGCACCATGTCGTAGTCGACTCCTGGAAAATGCGATACTGGTTGATACTGCGGTACGAGAGCGCATATAGTGAGTAAGCAAACACGTTTACAGGATAACGTACAGGTTCTTGATAGTCTATTACACGCCCTCGGTTCAGCGGGTAAGTTATAAATGTGAACCTCACTCACACCGCTGGCACTTGCAAGGAACTCTTGAAAAGTGCAGGACGTCGGTATAGTTATGGGCTTCAAGACATCCTCTGATATTTCGGCAGGAAGAGGCAACGCAGCGAGGATAGCGTATCTATCGTTGACGACAGCTTCAGGAGTCTTCGTGCCAGATACAACCTGCGGAAAACGACGAGTCATGTACTGTCCATGCGAGTATATGCTCGTTGCCAAGTAGGTACTTTGAAGTCAAGCTCATTGGGTTCCTGAACCACGGATTTGTGCGTGTCGGTCGCCGCCGGCACCGAAGGAGTAAGCCTGTACGAGTCCGGGGATATTCTATAGTCATGCTGTCCAAGTGGAGGAGACGGGTTCGTGACGAAGCTATCGCAGGGAACCGGGGCCTAAGCCTAATAAATGCACGCCTTTGGGGATTGCGGAGCAGAAAAGATACCTCATTTCGCGGCAGCGGTCCAGAAGTGTAGCACGGCGGCGGCCCTTCTTCCTCGCCAGAGCGAAGATTCATGTTCTTGAGCAATTGTATTTCCTCCTGTAGTTCCTGTATAGCACCCTCAAGGCGCGTCGTATCTTCATTAACCTGGCCAGCAGGTGCGTATTGGTAGTTCAGGGAAGCGTCATCGTTCTTGCAGTGTAAGAGCTTCAATAGTTGCTTCTTCTCGTTATGCAAGCAGTTTATGGTATCGGTCTTTTGTCGGATAGAGACGTATGCATTGGCCAAACGGTAAACAACGGCGTCTCGAGCGGCCAGAGCTTCGGTTAGGCGCGTACGTTCCAACTGCGCAGATACAGCTAGGTCATCGACCACGGCGGGTCCCTGAGGAAGCGGAAAGGAACGGATTGCGTTAATGGTTCACGCAGGATGGTCGGACGCGAGTATATACACGAGTAGTGCACCATGGACATTGCAGTGAGGCCAACTTACGTGCACGCCGCGTTCGTCTCGCCCTCCCATATTACTGCCCAGACGATCAACGTTATGAGTCCGGCCTGAGCCTGTCAACAACACGTCCGACGACAAGAAAGCAGAACGAGCAGCCACTGAACTCAAGTTGGACGGAGGCAAAAGGACGCGGAGTCTCTCTCTTCAACTCAGATATAACTCCGCCCCAAATGACAGGCAGCCGAGTTCATGCCGATTCACGGCAACATATTCGGGCTTAGTCCAGCAAGAGTCGACGCGCCGCCGACACGATAAGAAGGCAAACGGGACAAAGCACGTCGCCTCATCTTCTCTGGGAATAAGCGGTAAATATTGACGCTGAGTCATAAGCTGAGTTGGACGGGCAAGTATCCGAGGGGACCACATTACGTGGAAGCAAAGGCAGGCCCAAAGATATGCGACGATGTTCTACATCCGGACACAGGTACATGGATCGAATAGTCCAATAGCAATCAGAATAGGGCCTTTAAAGTAAGGAGTTGTTGTCAAGATACCCGAGACAGTGTTGGTTGCGCCTTGTGCAGTTTCTCGACTTTCGCCTTTGCAGTCGAGGTACCATCCATTTTGTGAGCGAGCTTCTTCACAGTCGCAGGCGGCGAGCTCTTAACAGAGGTAGAGGCCCTGGTAGGACGAGGTATGAGAGTAATCGATGTATTGTGATCGAGATGCCCGTTAGGATGAGTACTTGAGTTGGACGGTGGCCCGACGTTCGACAGTAGCTCTGCAGGTTTTCCTGCAGCGCGTCTTGCAAGTAGTAGAAATGAGCCCTCGTCCCAAGACACGTCAATCCCCGAGTCTGCTCTCGAGGTATCGGAAGAAACCGAAGCTGCCGTTTCCGGGGGATTGATAGAACGCTTGCCTGGCAGCGTCGCAGGACCAGGCTTCGAGCTGATAGACAATAAATCTTCCATGATTGTATCAGGTGCACCCGAAAGTATCGGTTTTCCGTGTACGGCGAAGGGCGCCAGGCCGAAGCAAACCACAAACTTGAAGAGAATACTTCGCATAGCAGCAGGATATCCAAAGGTCGGTTTGCGCTTGTCGTCTCGGCCCAGCCAAATACGAAAGATAACGAGCAATCGGTAGACTAAGTTTCTGGACGAGACCGGGGAAAATGAACGGATAGTTTGCGTTGAGCGTCGGTGAACGTCGGTGAACGTCTGAACAATCAACTGTGACCAGGTCACATCCTCCGTTCTTTCTAACGGTCACGCTATGTTTCACGCCAACCAGTGACTCCTGAGGCTTTCATGCGAGCATACCGCAGTTGAAATTCTACCACCATCTGCACGTTGCACACGGACTTATGTTTTCATTCTGGAATCTGATATATTTAAGGCTGCCGTCGATTTCCCCGCTCTGTTGATGACGCTCGAAGATTGATCATTGCCGTCGTCCAATCGTACTTCTATTCCCGTTTTCAGCGAGACCGGCGCCGTCAACGATGAGTTTTGGATGCGTACGTGGCTATATGAACTGTTCTGTTACTCCGAAAGGCTCCTGTCAACCTTCTACTTCACTGTGTTTGATGACAGACCTATCTTCAGGTATCAATCGTTACTCTGCACCAACTCTCGTTGTTGAACACGCGCACACTCTATCCACGCACGTTCCGCTGCTGTATTACGTATCACACAGCAGGGACCGGCACAGATCCAACCCACAGCTTACTAGAGGAGCAATGCCCTTTATACCCAGGCTCGGTCATATGAACGACCTTGTGAGGGCATACTTCTGCCGTGGTTCACGGGAGAGTCTTCTCCATCTAGAACCAAAGCATTGTTATGCCTTTACGCTGTATGCCTACATCTTTTGACCGAGCCGCAGCGAGCGGACCCCGAGAGACGATCCTGAGTACCATCCCCCTACCCCTTTTCTCCTGATTTTCATCGCATATACCCTGTGCGTGGACGGGATCTCTGCGCGCCGCAAGAACAAGTAACAGCATCGTTCCATCCGCCAAGGCGGTTTGCATGGCTTGATGAAGTACGCGCCTAATCGATATGTAGCGCGCATCAGGCGGCATCATCAGCTAAGTGCCGACTTAGGCTGTTGGCAAAGAACAGCACAACAGCAGTTTCGTATGTATAGCACCGTGCCGCTGATATCATGACCTTATAGCTCCCCTAAAAGTGTTTGACTGACAGATTGATGTCCCGTGTCGGCCGGAATGATGAACATTGCAGACCATCTGCGCTTCGGTACGGCAGCCTCGATCACTTTCCATTCCTGAGAAGACCTCCTCGCACGGTGCGTCTCTCCGGGTTTGCCTTTGTATGGTGGATTGAAGCGAAAAACATGTCCCGTAGGTCTATTCACTTGTATTTGTCGTCTGTTCGCTGCTTATGCCGGCACTGGCAAATCACCTACTCGGGACCTTCATGTTTCTTCGATTTCTCGAACGTGCACTGCGTCTTTTTGGCTGTTCGACTCATCAACCCTACGTGAAATGACCAGCCCCATGATGAAACTACGGTCTAAGATGCAACTATCATTTATTCCTGAGCCATCTCGTCGTCACAGGTCTCCTCGTCTCGCAGAGATGACGCAAAGGGCACCAGCATCGAACTAGACTCAAGAAGTATATGTGAGAGGGGACCATCTCTGCGGTATAAAAAGGCTACACTTTCGAGTATTTTTCATTCAGCCCACACTCGAGACCCATCTCTCGAGCACTACAGCACTCCAAGCTATCGCAACCTTCTCACTCGCGTAACCCTCACCATGTTCAAGCTCTCCATCGCCACCGTCATTGCCCTCGCCGGCTTCGCTGTAGCCCAGGAGTCCCACCAAGTCTCCGTACGTTGCGCCGCTATCTCTCTCCTCACTGTTGTGTTCCGGAGCCATGCTGACCGCTTTCTTTGTGACAGATGACCAACAACTGCGGTTCAGGCAGCCCCGTCTTCCTGTACGAGGCGAACGGCAACCCGCAGGGCCCTACCACCATCCAGGGCCAGCTCCTCGGCGGTATCGCCTGGCTCACCGGGTTCGCCGGTGCCAACTGCGAGAACTCCGGCGTCAACTGCGGTGCCGTCGAGTTTACCCTGCGCAACGACGCCCCGAACCAGAACGCCGCTGACTTTACTCTCGAGGCCCAGCCCGAGAACGGGAACCACCAGTTGTACGTGTATTCTGTGATATGTCTCAGCTGAGGATGAGCTGTTCATTGTTGGAATTCCCTGTAGCACGTACCCGATGTCGTACACCTACATTGGAGGCGGGGCTTGCAACGGTATCAGTGACAACTGCCCTTCTGCTGGTGACTGCCCGGATGCCTTCACCGACCCCACCAACGGCACGCCGAAACAGTGCGTCGGTACCAACGCTGGGGTAAGTATCTTTCATAACACGCACTGATCCATTTTGCTAACCCTTTTTGGTCCCTAGATTCAGATCACGTTCTGCTAAGTGCCTGAGCTCGGCGTAGGCGAAGGACAAAATGATGTCTTGCCTGCCTTTTAAAACATGAGACTGTAGTAGTGCTCTCCTGTCGTTGTCTGTGCTCAGTAGTTTATTGCATGTAAGAATATCTAGGCTGTTTAAAACATTCCGAAAGGCGTTATGACCGGTACCTAGCAATCGCACTTGAAAGCATCGTGTGATATTTCGGGATCCAAAAAGTTCCCCAGGAAGAGTTGGATACATACACAACAGTACTTTTGAGTGCCGAAGACGTCGTCGTATTGGTGCTATGATGACACGACGCTTTGCAGTCCAGTAGTAATCATACCCGTTCGATGCCTGACGGCTGGAGTCAAGTAGAAACTCTTGTCCAGCCATGCACGCTGTAGTCCGAGTCTGTAACTGGTATAGGACCCATCCTTGATGAACGAGGGAGGATAACGACGCGCGGGTGTTTGGTACTGGAGAACCAATATCAATATATTGGGTCATAAACTATCATAACAATCCCAGGCGTTCCCGAACGATTTGCATCGTTGGACGCGATCGCATCTTAGCCTTTTCGGCTCCCTCGCGGCCAACGTCCGCCAAATATCCCGGGTCCTCTCTAAGCCTCAGTAACTCAGCACGAGGGCGTCTCAGCATCTCGACGACCGCATCTGTTACGTCTGCCTTCAAATGACCATGATGCTTTCCCGAGTACCTGCGCGCTACTTCCGCGGGATCCGCCTCTTCGCAGGCGGCGAGGATGGTAAGGAGGTTAGACGTCCCGGGTCGGTTGACTGGGTCATATGTGATGCCCTGGATGGAGTCCGTCACAGCACTTCGGATTTTATCCCGAATTTCCTCCGGAGTGTCGGTCAGCAATATGCGTGACTTGACATCCGGAGTTGATTTGGACATTTTGGAGGAAGGGTCCCTCAGTGAGAGAATACGTTTCGAGGGAGCTATGAATTACTTTAGTGGATATCATGCCCCAATAGATGGACGAGCGCTTACTGAAGAGCTGTCGTGGAAGCGGGAATAGAGGCACGTTATCTGTCTCATCCTTCAATTGTCGATTGAATATGTCCGCGAGGTCACGACATAGTTCAATATGTTGCTGCTGATCTTCGCCTACGGGGACATGCGTAGCTCTGAGTACCTACATGAGTATCAGCAACGAGACAGGTCCTGGGGTGACCTACTTATAAACTAGAATATCCGCGGCTTGCAACACAGGATATGTAAAGAGACCAACATTAAGAAGTGATTCATCAACTTCGGATTCGTCGTTGGCATTACGAGAGTCCGCCAATCTCGCCTTAACAGTCGTTCAGTGCCTCGGACCTGTGAATCCTAGGCACGACATACCTTCCACGTAGTCATCCTACGCAGCTTCCCCGTGGGCGTTATGCAGTTGAGCAGCCATGCCAGCTCAAGATGGTCAGAATTCTTCAAAGAGATGTAAGTCGCGTATCAACCAGAATATTTCTCTCGTACATGGTTTTGGTAGAAGAGAATGCAACGTAAAGGGTCTATCCCGATAGCCAGTAAGATAGCAAGGATATCTTTCTGAGCTTCAAACAGAGCCTTCCGGTCTTGCGGAAGCGTGAGGGCGTGCCATCCCACGACGGAGAATATAAGCTCGTCATCGGGCGCTGCCTGGCGCTGCAGTTTCACCCAGTTCTGCAGGGCTCCGAGGTAATTGCCCAGCTGTGCAGCTGCATTATTAGATTAACCCTATGGAAACCTATCTATGGACTCACATGTGGTACACCCGTCGGTTGAATCCCAGAGAAGTATGTCCGCCCATGCACCCTCGTGGGTGTCGTGGGTGTGCTTGATGCGGAATCCCTACCTCTTTCTTCCTCCCCCGACTGACTAGTGCTATAGTATGCTGCTGCTCGCTGCTGAGCGAGTCGTCCGCGAGAGACGCTGCTCGTTGCCTTGCATTTCTGAGCAGCGCGTCGCAGACAGGCGGTGGACATCAATGAAGCCAAACTTTAAACTCCGGATGTGGCACCTGTACTAACTATACCTGTCGATAACCACTTGTCTCGACCTCCGATGTGCTGAACGCTGAAAGTCTGGCGTCGCTGCCATGAGTTACGAGGATTTGTTCGACATGCCGGGGGGAGATGATTTTGTGGACGTGAAGGATGTGTTTGAGGAGGCAGCACGAGGCATGTACACGGTTCGAGGCATAGCGTTCCGAGACTGAAAGAGAGGAAATCCAGATATGCAGCCTGGGCAGCTGGTATTCACGGAGGGGTTCACGATACAAGATGCCATGAGCGCAATTGAAGTGAGTCCGCAAACTGGTACTTTCTTCTCGGTCGGACGGACTGAAGATTGGTCGTGAAGATTGGGGAACCCCGGATGGATAGTGGCATGATCGCTGAGGCTAACGAGAGGCCAGAATTCCAACCGTTGACCCCACTCCTGCCCGAGGAGGTGTGCTGGATTATGGACCGTGCATTGGCTTGCGAGGTGTGAGGGCCATGGTCTGTCTCTCTGCGCGTGCTCTCCCCTACAACTATATACCTCTCCTGCAGCTGGAATTGCACGCCGGGAACGCTCTCGCTCAGACCGTATACACATTGCTCTACGTGCACCATCTAAAAGAGATCGACCCCGACGTTGTTATGGACACCGAGACCCTCGAAGAGGATCCCGACCGTCCTGCAGAGTTGATTACTCTTGTCATAAGGGCGACTGTCATGGGAATTCTCAAATGCTGCGATCTAGCGTGGCGAGAGCTATCCAAGAACCGTGTCCATGAAGTCAGTACGCTCGTGTCTGCTTTCACGTTCATTCACAACTGACCCCGGTCATAGGGGGAAGACTGGCAAGGAGAGAAGTGCGAAATCTCTCTCCTGGAAGGATATCCAGTCAGATCTCTCGTCCGGTTGATCGACCAAGCGGCCGTTTGGTGTAGACACGCATCTGGAGGTACCTACTTCAACTCCTGATTCATTTCCAGGAGCTCTGATCGTCTTAGTCTCGGTCACCCTACGAAACGAGCTGTTGGCTCGACTCCTCTTCCGTAAGGTCAGTCCTTCCAGCACCAAGTTCCGCATAGTGCTATTGTGACCCTCCTCCCCAGACGATGCTGGAATTGATGACTCTCAACCTACCAGAGGATCATGACAAGCTGCAGACATGTCTAGCCACGGCTCGCGACCTCCTTCAAGGGTTTAGATCCAGGCCTATCCGCACTCCACACCCAGGTTCTCCGGCGCATCTTGTCTTTGACCCTTATGTTACTCGGCGTTTGCATTCGTTCATGCCTTTGAGGCCAATGCAGTTGCCGCCCCAAGAAGAGACTTGGAATAGCCTCGAAGCCGCACTGGACAATTGGCAAGAGCTATATTATCTATGTACCATCACATCTATGTCAACATGGAAGGTAGGGTCTTCCAACTATGTCACGTGGCATTGTCAGTAAAGTGCTGCAGATCCTAGGGTACATCCGAATACGGTCGCCGAGATCCGCTTGTTCTATACCCTTTCTCCGGTCTCTGGCACAGGTAAACTCCGCTCTCATCATGAGGCAAATTTTCTGCGTAGACGACTGACGCAGAGTGTACAGTCGTTCTTCTATGACGGCTCTCGTTTCATCCGTCGATTTCAGGATCTCTGGATTATTGAGCGATTCTGCGAGGAAAGTATGGGTGTGAAGTATGATTACATACTTCAGCTTATGCAGCGTTCTTGGGCGGGAGAAGGGCAGTCTCCTTTGATGAATATCCAGCGTCTGATGATCAAGGTAGGGGGCAAGGGCGTTGAGAAGGGTGACGACTAACTCCAGCTTAATAGACCCTGATGCCGTATATAAGGTCATTCTGGTTTAACCCCCCACGACAACGAAGGTTCCTATCAAAATCGCTGGTAGACTGGCATGTCCTATATGCCGCAGTGCAGAACCTGGTTTCTGAGTGTGTTACTGAGGTATGTACTAAGTCATCTCGTTGTATTTCCGGACATTTAAATTGCGCCACTCAAATCAGGACCAAACGGAAGCTCGCATGTTAGATGTGCTGCCCAAAGCTCTGCTTTTATGGCGTTTGGAGGTGATCCAGCAGGTCGTGTTGTCCGGTTTCCAGCTCGAGCTGTACAGCCCAGACGAGGTATCCGTGGCGTATTGGTACGCCGCCGAGGTGATCGTAGCACGACTGGAATGTCTGCATGCGCTGATGGAGGTTGCTCCGCCAGGTACGTGCGCTGATCTATTGATGGGCCGCGGAAAGCTGAGCCCTTTCTTAGATTCGACGGCATATAGCGAGTTGCATTTCCAGCACAGCTTCCTTACTGCACTGCACGGTATGTGCCTTGCATCGGCCTTGGTGAGCATTATCGACCGTACTGGCTACATCGATGATCTGAGTAAGGTGTTGCTATAGCTGACAAAGAAAATGCCGAGCATCTCATGGGGACGCTCTCACTTAAATTTCCGGAGACGATATAAATGGGCGTTCAAACCCGAGTACAACGATGTGCCATTGAAGCCTGTGGCGCAACCCGACTTCGAGCAATATATGACTTGGCGTGCGGCTGAGGTACCTCGCTCCTGGCCGCCCGGCAGGTGATTACCACTTACCATATACACCTTAGACGTCAACTGCTCCTGAAAGCTTTCTTGAGAGTTCGCGTTCGCTTCTGCTGGAACTTCTAGAATCTCCTCCCGTCGGTTGGGCCGGCTTATGGCGAAAGGACCGCTTTGATGTACGTTCTCTGACTCTTGCACCTGGAGCCTGGCTAACTCTGCTGGGTAGTTCGTCACCAATTTAGCCGAGACCTGCACGCAAATGATAGCGAACTGTCCTCCCGGTCAGATCAGGTATAATGCTGATGCAAACCCCTTGTTCCCTATCTTCTCGTAGTGTTGTAGAGCATAAAATACGCCGGAGCCATACCCGTCTCGTCACTTATTTTTCTTACTACCGAGATCTACTGTTTAGTATCTTGGATAGAAAAATGTATTACTATCGCCCAAAGCCTCTTTGAATCTCATTCGCCGTATTTGGCAAGCGTACACTACCAGAACGCCCATGACATCAGTCGCCGGCTCAGATTCTGAATCTCTTGAAGATGCACCGAAACATGCGAGTATGGCGGTGCATGCACTCAGTCCTGCGCAAGAGCGTCGCCTCGTGGACAACTTCGAAGAAAGGTTTCTAGATATTACGCGGGCTTTCAAGAAACGGTCAGTTCTACCTTCGATCTCGAGAAGCGGACGAAGCTGAATTTGCGACCAACAGGACCCTTCCAGATGCAACCCTCCCAACCCTGTCTTCATATCTGGAGGCCACCCACACATTCCTGTCGCTCATCCTCCAAATTCCACCCGTTGGCAGGTCCGCCTCGTTACGGACGACGTTCCTTCTACGCCTCACAGGAGACGTCATGACGTCCATCACGGGTTACAAACCAGACCTCGAGTCCCTTCCAGCGCTGCTGGCGTGGATGAATGACCTCGATGCTGGCTGGCTCACTGTCCTGCGCGGGCAGGCCTGGGACCCTGCGTCGCGTAGAGCCGTAAACGTCGCCTCGGCGGAGTCGGCGCGTCCATCCATGAACCAAACCGAGCGTACACGGCTAAGAAGCCTTCTGATAACTGGAACGGAGAGAATGGAAGAGTGGCTGGAGGATCTGAACACCGAGGGTGAAGATTACACTACCGCGCTGGAGCGGATGGGATTGCAGCAGGGTTTCGAAGACCTCTTTTTGGGGACGCTGAACGAGATGGGGGGGTTGAAGGGAAATGATCCGGAAGGTATGACGGGTACATGTTGAGCACAGAAAGAAAGGAATCGGATGACATACGCCAGCGGTCGCTGCAAGCATTAGCAGATAATACAATACATCTCGAGCATGACCGCTATCTATCGCCTCTTCTGCGTACGACGACTGTCGCCTGTAGCATGTGCAGGTTAATACAATACAGAGGGCACAAGCCACGGAGACTGCCACGCACCTCTCGCCTTCGCCTTCTTCGGAGCACCCTTTCCTCTCTTCTTTTTGTCCTCAATATCCCGGAGCCGCTGCTGCTCTGCCTCGTCCACAATATCCCACTCCGGGTACTGCTTCATTATTTTCGCTATTGACAGCGCTTCGTACGGAGGGTAATATTTGACCATAGACGGCCCTCGTAGCCGTCGACGCAAGTACTTCGCACCTGTCCTGATCGAGGTAGGGTTGTAGGCTGTCTGGAATATTTGGCACCGAACTCGGTTTAGAGCAGCGAGGGCGCTGGGGGCTACACTAGCCATGTCGCTTTCCGTGATGCCCAGGACTCGTCGTGGTCGTCGCGGAGGATAACAGAGGAGTGGAATGAGTTCAGGCTTACCGTGGGAATACAGACTTGCCATAATTTTGCCCAACAACTGGTCTCAAGACTGCACGTTTCTACCGCCCGCTATTTTTCAGGGTTTCGTTCTATAGTCGCGCTTCGAGGATTAGGATTTGTGAGGAGATTGAAGGTACGCCTGTGGCTGTCGTTCAATGCAGTAGCTGTTGCTTACCGCCATATCAGCCTTCTACTAGGACTAGCATCCCAGGAGGCGAATGCAAAATATAACTCTGTCCATATGCTCTCGATGTCGGACATCTCTACGGCCACAATTGCGGCTCACGTCTTCGTTGAGACGATTTCATAGTCCCGCCCACAGAATCAGCCATAACTCGCGGTCGACAGTAAATGAAAGAAGGCTTCATCACGATGCGAAACTCTGGAATGCCATTTCGACTCATTCCACCAAACGGGCTGATGACCATTCTGAATCGCCAGTGCTCCGGAAGGCCGTACCCGTCGAAGAGATACCGGAAGCTCTCGTGGAGCATGTGCGTTCTTGGATGAGGGATGACCATGTGCAGCGTCGCTTTCGCTCGTTTGGAATACCGGTGCACGAATGCAGTTCCTTGCTCACCCGCTTTGCGCTGGCAGTTCGGGCAAGAACGGCTTTTGATACGGCAGATTTCCACCCAGACATGCTCACTCTCTTCACATCCAGTCTGAGCAATCCAGCCGACGGAGCTGCAATAGACGGTGTCCTGTCCAAAGTATTCTTCGCGTGGTCAATCAAGTCAGAAGCAGAACTCGTAGGTGCTGGTGTCGTGTCCGGACCGACCTTGCAGAAAATGAGGAGCCTTTTCAAAGTTACCGATTACAGCTATCCAGCCGAGTGGTTTCCGTCGACTCGCATACTCAAGCGAAAGGTCTTCATGCATGTCGGGCCGACGAACAGTGGAAAGACGCACAATGCACTCCGTGCACTAGCAGCAGCGAGGACCGGCTGTTACGCTGGTCCTCTGCGGCTGCTTGCTCATGAAATCGCGGATCGTCTGAATAAGGGCCAGATCGTCCCGTTAGGCGCGGAGGTTACCCCGGAGGCAGAGCCCGACGAGCAGACAAACTTGGACGTGGGCACTGGACCCGTCGTAACCAGCTCTGGGGATGGCAGGTTCGCAAGGGCTTGCAATCTTGTGACGGGCGAGTCGCGTGTCATTGTTGACGCCGCCGCCGGTCTTCTCAGCTGCACCGTGGAGATGGTGAATGTGGCCAGGTTCTACGATGTTGCTGTCGTCGATGAGATTCAGATGATCGCGGATGAGGCCCGCGGCGCCGGATGGAGTGTGGCCGTCCTTGGATTGCGCGCAAAGGAACTGCATCTGTGCGGAGAGGAGACGGCTGTACCAATTATCGAAGCTATGCTGCGGGATACCGGGGACGAACTCATCATAAACCGGTACGAACGGCTTACCCCGCTGGTAGTCGCAGACAAGAGCTTGGAAGGTGACCTGTCTCGCGTGCAACCTGGCGACTGTATAGTCACATTCCAACGGTCAAACATCTTCGCGTTGAAAAACCAGGTCGAGGCTGCTACTGGCTTGCGTGCAGCTGTTGTATATGGTCGGCTGCCTCCTGAAGTTCGCAATGCCCAGGCTGCTCTGTTCAATCAACCTGGCAGCGGGTACGACGTCCTCATCGGAAGCGATGCGATTGGGATGGGTCTTAACCTGTGCGTACTAATTTGTCCGACTACATGGTGCATTGTTATTGATTGTCGTTGGCAGGAAAATCAAGCGCATGATATTCAGCGCTGTAAGCAAATGGGACGGTAAGAAAGAAGTCCAACTCTCGATCTCTCAAATGAAACAGATTGCTGGTCGCGCTGGTCGGTTTGGCTTGCACGGAGACGCCAATCCTGGTGGCGTCGTTACCACTCTCCGTGAAGAAGATCTCGAGACGCTCCGTAAGACGATGGAGAAACCCGTACCTCCCCTGCCGTGCGCATACGTCCGCAGTCCCCCAGACACCCTGGTAGCGCTCTATGAACAACTGCCGCCTGGCTCACGGATGTCGACTTTGAATGCCGCCGTCAGGACATTGACCAGGTTCCGACGGCCATATCACATAGAAGACAATCACATCGCTGCCATTATGCTCAAGCTGGTTGACATCGCGAGTGATTTTTTACCCCTACACGAGCGCCTGGACGTCCTTGAAATGCCAGTACCTACCAGAGACGAGAGGATGGTCGACTTCACTCGGCGTCTGGTACAGCAATTCCGCGAAGAAGGCAAGGTGGATCTCAGGTCGTTGCTCCATTCGACAGAGATGTTCGATGCACTGTCTCATGTGCTGACGATAATGGAGTCTGGGGAGCAGATCCGGACGCCCGAGTTGCACCTGAATCGATTGGAGTCACTGGACAAAGCCCTTTGCGCGTACTCCTGGCTATGTAACCGCAACAATGTCGTTTTCCCTGACCGGGATCTCGTGGGTTTCCTCAAGGACAAGAGCGAACGGGCTATTGCGGCTTGCCTGAGCGCCATAGGTGCAGCGAGGACATCATCGCTCGCTCGACCTGCTCATGCAGACGAGAAAACCGAAGCGCGACGGACAAAAACGCGGGAGCGCGTGGAGGACCGAAGTCGTCGTGTCAGACCCAGTATTGGGGATAAGTCCAGGATGCCGGATGATGGCCCACGCATCACATTGCAGCGCAAGTCGACAATCCGCGACCAATCTGCCGCCTCTGCTTAAGCGCAGGCACTATCGGGAGGAGAATTACATCTACGACCATAGTCGGGAAGCCCGTGAAGCGGCACTTTCGGCCTCGTTGAGTCTGACTGGAGGCTCTCATGCGAGGAAAGGTTCCAGTCCATGCTTTCTTCTTCGCAAGTGCAGTGCGAAATTGACCGGGAGAATACTCGTGTTCTTCCATGCCAGCAAATTTCCGGGCCACAGGATTGACAAGGGATAAGTGCTGACGGACGAGAGTCTTTCACGATAATGGTTGTCTTGCGCTCTATCGGCTTCATCTCAGCGAGGGTCGGTAGACTACAGTAAGTACTATGTCTCCTGCATCCTCACTGTATACACTAAGTAGTATTTAACGACCTCCCACCTCTATTGAGAGCATATTTGCATTATATTTTTAGCGACGGCGTTCCCGTCTTGCTCCAGTCGCTCACGCCCCGTCTTCCTCTCCCACCGCACTCCCGTCCTTTTACCGACGGTTCGCCATGCCGGCGCCGCCATTACCATCCGTAATTCGGTGTCATTTGACTGAGGTTCGCGCTTCGATCACGGTATAAAGGTCCGGGAAAACGGGATGGGGACGTTGACTGCCCGTCCCCACCTAACCGCGAGCCATGGTTAACTTCACCATCCTCGCCGGCGGATACACCGCATTCGTCGCCTCCTACCTGTTCAACAGCGATGCCTGCACACTCACGTTGTTGAATCAGTCCCCCACGGGTCCGAATGTTTCGTGGATTACGCCCCATCCCTTCAACCCGAACATATTATAGTATGTACTTATTCATCACGAGCAACGCCGGGTGTCTAAAGCTAGCGTGCTCGATAGTACAGTCAACGAGGTTACCGAGGGTGCGCTGCAGTCCTATGTAGTTGGCCCCGAGGGTGTACTGGCAGGGCCGGTCGATACGGTGTCATCGGGCGGGGATGGACCTGCGTTCTGTGGGCCTTTGACCACGGGTCAGGTGGCAATTATGAACGTGAGTTGAAGCAAAAATGTGCTGTACGTGTCGAATCCTATGCCTAAATTTGTAACGCAGTATAATTCGGGCAACGGCAAAATCATTCCTACATCGTACGGCGGGCTGGTCTTTGATAAGAACGCATCTCTAATCACGTTCCCGCCGCCGGAAGGAAACTTGTCGCACCCTCATGAAGCGATTCAGAACGGCGCCGAAGTGCTCGTGCCGGACTTGGTGAGATGGTTTGCCCATAATGGCGTCCTCTGCTGATATTTCGTACGCTGTAGGGCGGTGACAAAGTATGGCGACTCATACAGAACGGGACTGCGGGAGAGTGGGGAATCGAAGGCATAATTGAGCAACCGCTATGGAGCGGCCCAAGACACGGAATGATCAGGGGTACGTATAATCTCTTACCCCGTACCAGCACTAATGATCCTGTCAGATGGGTACTTCTACCTCGTTCACGAACTCGCGAGCAGTCTAACGGCGCAAGTTCTCCCTATCGCGCCCAATGGAACTATGCCCTTCATCTCTGATGAGTCTACTATCCCGCCGACCTATCCCAACGGTTCTGATTGGCACGCCGCGGAGATCCTTATACCTCCACCTTCCACTTCCTTCCCGCAGCCCTATATCTACACGTCAAACCGCAACACGGGCAACCTGGACCCTCGCGGGGACACCATCGTGATTTGGGCCATCCAGCCTGACGGCTCCATCCAGCAGGTGAAGCAAGTGTATACGGGATTGGACCAGATTCGCGGGATGATGATTAGTACGAATGCAGATGGCGTAGGAGAGTATATTATTGCGGCGGGATACGCTGGCACGGCGGGTGTCCAGGTGTATCAGAGGGTGAGCGGAGGTGCTGACCTGCAGCTTGTGGCGAATAATACGGAGATACCGACAAGGACCAGTTTTGTCTGGCTCCCTCTATAAATCCGGAGTATGCACTAACCCTGGTACATGCCACGCCTTCAGGGCAGATGCGCTGGGCAATGGTACTCCAGCGCATACATACGTATCTACCTAGCACCTTCGGACTACATCACAGGGACTTGGAAGTCGTGTCCAAATGAACATCGTTGACATGACAGCTTCTGCGGGCTCAAGAACACTTCAAAGGCCGACCAATTCCCAAGTCGCGACGTGACAGTATTGTAGTTAGACCTAATTAACGCGTCGACGCGTCGGCACGTGTTTATATGTTCGCTTTCGCCTTTCGCGGGGAATGCTACACTTTCTCTGGAAACCGCCACTACCACCAGGGTCTACAAGTGGAGCTCTTTCACCCCTGATGTCTCCTCGTAAACGAGCTCTTTCGTCGGGCGAGACTCGCCTATCTGCTCGACCCAGCCCTTATCATTCTGCTGTCACTTTGGTTGAGGCGGCAATTGTGGCTGAATCCTCGAGTTCATCTGTCCGACGTTCTAAACGAGTCAAGGTGGAAAGTACTAGTGCTGCTGTTGACGTCCACGAAGACGCAACATATGTGCAGGAAGAAATAACGGAAAAGACCTCCAAAGCAAGGCCAAAATCACCTCGCAAACCTAGAAAGATCCCTGACTCCCTAGACAATCCTCATCCCGCCCCTGTCAACTGGCGAGAAACCTACGACACAATAAAAGAGATGCGCTCCCGAATTAAGGCTCCTGTTGATACCATGGGCTGTGACCAGGCCCAACTGAAAGAACAAGAGCCCAAGGTACGTCCGTCAGAACTGGTCCAATGCTATTCGGAAGTGTTAATTACACCGTCCTAGAACCAACGATTTGCCACCTTAGTGTCTTTGATGCTTTCGTCACAAACGAAAGATGAAGTCACGGACGCTGCGGTGGCGAAGCTGCGTGAAGCTGTAGGCGGCACATTGAGCGTCGACGCCGTTCTGCAAGCTGACGACAGTGTAATATTCGAAGCTATCTGTAAGGTCGGCTTCTGGCGGAGAAAAACAGGGTTCGTGTCCTAGAAGTGACCCTGAGCAAAGTGTGACATCTTTATGTCAGATATATCAAGAAAGCAGCTGAGAGACTGCGTGACGACTTCGACTCCGATGTCCCGAAGACGGTGGACGAATTATGTTCTCTTCCTGGGGTAGGGCCGAAGATGGCCTTCCTGGCTTTGCAAGTTGCGTGGAACCTGTGAGTACTTACTAAGAGTTCTTGCCGGTACCGTCCTTATGGCGTGTCTAGTAATCACGGTATTGGTGTAGACGTCCATGTGCACCGCATCACGAATAGACTCGGATGGCACCGACCACCGACCAAGACTCCTGAACAGACGAGGTTCGTGCGTCAATCCTTGAAGAATGCTCAATGTGCTTGACTATTTGATGATTGTGGTAGACTGAATCTGCAATCTTGGCTCCCAAAGGAGCTTCACGGAGAAATTAATCATCTCCTTGTCGGTTTCGGGCAGGTAACGCCTCACATTCTAGTCGCCCTCTACACATCTCACCAATGACTGTAGACGGTGTGTCTGCCCGTGAATCCCCTCTGTGATCTTTGCGAGCTGCCCTCGAAGATGCTGTGCCCGAGTGCACGGAAGGTTGTCAAGTCTAAGACAAAGAAGGCTGTCCTTGTCCAAGCCGAGTCGGGCCCCAAAGTCGAGATTGGTATCGAAGAAGAGAATACGATCTTGGAACAGCGCGACGACTCGTCAGAGTTGTCGAGCTCATAGTTCAACCTTGATTCTGGTACGCCCAATTCTATTTTCTTATATCTTTATATTAATTCATTTTCATGGTTTCTTACTCATAAGAGCCCCAGCGCCATATCCCAGAATCCCTTCTCTAGTCGTGTACAACGTTCCCATGTCGCCACCCACTCTTGGAACCTGACTATCGATGGCGGATCCGCGGCTGCTTCTGCTTCGATTGTGTCTGGCATGAATCGTCAGTTGTAGCAAATAAACGACATTTATTTCTCAGTACCAAGACCGGCTTTCACAGCATTCTGGTAGTGCTCCCCAGAGTAGTCTTCCATCCACTTGAGGTAGGGGTTACCTTCCCACTTGACCCAGCTGTTTGGGAGGGAGGCCTGTTTACGGAGCCACAGCCCTACTTCGCCGTAGCCGAGCAGGCAGGCTGCAAGTGCCATGATTAGCTTGGATCTATCGCCTGCGTCGCGTCGAGGTGATCCGGTCAGCTATCTCAGAACGTAGGACATGTAGTCGGTGAGTACCTTGCAAACCGGTATCAATGATGAAGGCTCCGTAGGCGGTCGTGGCAGACGACTCTGGTGTGCTTTTCAATTCTTCTTCGGTTATGCCCCACTGCTCGCAAAAGGATACATGTGTTTTCACTTCGTTGACGACGTTGAACATGGTCTGGGCGGCTGCTTGAATTGCGGGGTAGGAGGGTGACTTCGCACCTAGTAGCCTACGAGTCTCGGAGGTATGTGGATTGTCTTAGGAGCTGAAAGGGGTTAATGCTCACGCGTATGCACGTCCGTAGTACTTCAAGTAGTGGTAATCCTGTCTGGGACGCGTTGAAGTCAGAGCGCAGGATTCAGCGGGACGCGAGGCGCGTACTTGATGAAATGGATGAAGCATTCCCGGCGGAGCGTGCCTTGACCAAGCTGCTTGACGAAGTCGTGCTCGACATATTCTTTCCAGATTTTAGATGTCGACTTGATAAGCAATCGCGTGAACGGATGCGGGTTCGATAGGGTAGGCCTAAAGGTCAGAGATCAAAAGTCAGAAGCGGTACAGTGCAATAACGGATATCCTACTTCGGTATGTTGCGCAGGGTAATGGAGTGCATGTGGTTCAATGGTCCGTATCCGCTACCTATGGGGAAGGCGGTCTCGATACCAGCATGGGTGTAGGAGGTCGCCAGACTCGTCGCGTCCCTGACTATTAGTCTTATCATCAGGGCGCCACAAGACATTCGTACGAGCAATACTGACTGCTAAGTCCCCTCGCGAGCGCAGACGTGATTGCCGCGCTCAAGGTACACCCAGTCCCGTGCGTGCTCGTCGAGTTTATCCGCGGGCGGACGAAGATCGATGTGCTGCCGTTGGATTGGTGGAGAACGTCGACCACGAGCTCACGAGTAGCAGCGTCCGCTTCGGAGGCTTGCAGGATTTCCATATTGTCACCAAGGAGTGCGTCCTTCACAACCTCGATATCTGGATTTGAACTGCAAACACGCTCGATGTCCTGCATGGTGATGACTATATGGCCGCCCTTGAGCAATACCGCTTTCGGTCCTAGCTCACGCAGTTTCTTCGCAGCGGAGACCATGTCTTCCAAGCTGCTGATTTTGAGCTCTTTGTCCTGCTGGGATAGTAAGAGCTCTGCTTCTTGCCTATTCGGCGTAACCAGGGCTGTGATAGGAAATAGGTCGCTGATCATGACCTTCACTGCATCGGGCTGTAACAGAGTATGCCCAGAGGTCGATACGCAAACTGGGTCGCACACGAGAGGCGGCATGGCAGAACCAGGTCCTCCGAAGTGAGCCTTGAGGCTTGCGGCTACGGCAACGGTGTTATCGGCGTCGAAGAGCATTCCGGTCTTGATGGCTTCAATCTTTACGTCACTGAGAACGGAGTGCAGCTAAGGGTGAACATCTATAGATGCACTATAGACGTATAATGAGAAGCGGAAACCGACCTGCTGTCGGACGAACTCTGGAGGGGATGGATGGACACCCTGGACGCCGGTCGTATTCTGAGCGGTCATGGCAGTGATGACGCTTGTTCCATAACAGCCAAACGCTGTGAATGTCTTAATATCTGCCTGCGATCAATAGCACTCAACCGTAAGCAATTTTGCAGGGGTAGCGTGGACTTGAGCGTCACCTGTATACCTGCTCCTCCGCTGGAATCGGTGCCAGCAATTGTCATCACTGCAGGAGACGTCCCACCACGAAGGTGTACTGCTGAAAACATCTCTGGTGACTTCAACTAGTGTAATCAGAGCGTTTGTGCGCGCAAGGATTGAAGGAAAGCTTCAGGGCCTTAATATCGCGCGATGGCGAGAGAGCCGCAGAGGGCCATGCCGCGGCGTCGATCCTTGCTTTCTGTCTACCATGTCGACCTCAGGCTGAATCCTTCGTCGTGCGCAAGCAGCTATCGATTCATCGCAGTCTATAAGAACAGTAGTACGACAAGCAGGCTATAGCGGTACATGCGTCCAGTCCTCGCTTGAGGAAAACAAGATGGTCGGATCACGATTACGTTTAGACGAAGTCAGTGTGGCCGCCGTGCACGGCATTCAGGTGAGTGTATATTTCACCGTCAGGAAAAGTACCCATGCATTTCCAGCATATGTGAACGCCGCAGCGGCAGTAAATGTGGTTGCACCCTCCGTTCTTCTCGATGATTGTCTTGCACGATGGGCACGACTTAGCGCCTTGTGTTTCAGCCCATGCATTCAACAGCCTTTCTTGCTCTGCTGGATCACGATGCAGCTTCCATTCCTCGCAAGTTTGTCCTGGATGGTCCTCGTGCCCGGCAGTGCACACGGATGTCAAGCACGACGGGCATTGGAGGGCCATTGGCTGGGTCCCCGACGTGGCTAGGCGGTATATCTGCGAGCAATCTGGAGTAGTACAGTATCTGAACTCGTCGGGATGCTGGTCCAAGTACGTTTGGAAGACTGCTTCGAGAAGGGTGTCAAGTTCGGCCGGACGCAAGAACTGTTCCACTGTCGGGATGGAAATCATTTCTTTGCATTGACCTTCGTCCCCCAAGCACTGTAGAGGGAACTGTTTGATACCCCCTGCTGTGGACAGGAAGTGTCGCAGACACCCGGAGCAGTATGCGTGGCCACATGCTAACGCGAAAGGATTTGAGACTGCGTCGAAGCAAATGGGACACTGCTGCTGAGAGGAACTCTCGGGTTGTCCGTTCCCAAGAGACTGATTTATCAGCCTGCGCAGAGCATGACGTGCATCGTCGCCACCGCGTATGACAATGGTTGCTGGTGAAGCTGTGACGTTCAGCTTGACATTGTTCTCGCCAACCAACTCCTTCAGCGATGCTAAACCCTCACGAACGAAGAATCCCACGGAATGTTTCTTTAGGTGGACGGTGTAGTCCAGGGAGGCTAGACGGTGGACCTCTGCTTCGATCTTGGTACGAGCTGCTGCCGTGGCTACCGGAGTCCCGAATATCCTCAAGATCCGAAGACGGTTATCCGGGCGGACGTAGACGGGAATGTCCTTCAGTTGGGCTAACAATGACGCAAACCCTTTTGGTGAAGCAAAGGTCGCGTCCCACAAGTCGCATCGATTCCCCTCGGAGATTCGTTCGAGCCGCACCTTCAGAGTGCCGGTAGCTTTGGGCTCGTCACCCATAATCGATAATCGGACGGGCTTGTCGGGAGCATGATGGTGGATAGCTAGTTTCGCCGCTGCGGTGTTCGTATACTCGGTGGCAAGTCCGTCGAGAAGGCTTTGCTGGGCGACATACTGCTGGCGTGGTATGTACAGCGAGTAAGAATATTGGATTGGTAAAGAGGCCCGCAATTTGGCACCCCCTATACATTGCGGTTTTGGATCTCGAGTAAAATGGTCATAAGCCTCTTTGGCTTGAGCTCGTGCCTGAAATCTTGCTTTCACTTGCACTGTCCCATCTGGTCCCCCAGTCTTCACGATGCTGTATTGCTGGAGGCCTCCGAGCCTTTCCATGGTGCTGTGCAAGAACTCGTGCGTATGGTCCAATGAATATCCTCTGCCTTTCAACATCCGCACGCTGAAGCCTCCGGCGAATGCTTGTATGGCCTCCACCGTGATGTCCACCGGTAATCCGTTTATCGTGACTGCGGAAGGTACAAAGTTCTTCAGCGTCCTCCCGGCAACTCGTTGGTCGGCTGCGTTCGCAACGCAGACCTTCCTCCCACGGCACAGGGTTCCATTCAGCTCACCGACTTTCCTTCTGGCTTCCTCCTCGGTGGTGTAATATACTAATGCTCCAGCATTCGGTTCTGGCCAGGACAATGTCAAGACCTCGCAGTCTTGAGCTGATGGGTTCATCTCCGGACGCGAGGTCTTGACAGTACTGAGCTCTGCCTTCACTATATTGAAGCATTTCACAGCTTCCATCGCACCGGCCATCTTGGAGCAAATCACTCGAGCGCTTTGGTGTCGCCCAACCTCGTCTGAACGGACCCAGAGGACCTGGAAGTGGCGTGGATCCAAGCCACGCTCGCAGAGCATGGTTTCCACTGTTTTCTCTGTGGCCTCCGGGGGTAGGCTCTTTATGAGGATGCTGCATGTCTCGAAGCCGGTGGAGATCTTGCTGACGGTAAGTCCCGCCCCGAACGTGACGTGGGTTGAAGACATTACTGCTCTGGTGATTGTCTTGGCATACTCCTGCTCTTTGAGCTGCTCTCGGCGAAGTATAATTGTTTCCTGTATTTGTGGCCAAGATGATTAGCTTCGAACCACTGGATTCCGATGCCTGTCTTACCGCAGTATCATGAACAAACATGCACTCGGCGCCCTTGGAGCACTTCCCGGCTTCGAAGAAGATGCATGGCCTCTGAGCGGCTGTATTCGACCGATTTCCTCTTGGACTAACGGGGAATTGGTTACTGGGGAATTTCTTTGAGACACGTTCGCCGGTCTGTTAGTGCAGAGGTAAGCGGCTCATCATTATTTTGGAGACAGAAGAAATCCTTGCAGTGTGGGACTGGACATCCTGGCGGACGTGCAGGTAGAGACATCGTTCACCATGCCGGCAATGGCCCCGAGCGTAGAAACGGCAAGGGCTCCGCCGAGTAGACGTCAAATCTTCCTCAGAGCCGAATGTCTGAATTGGATTGCGCGAAGGAACTGGACTGCTCCGCCTGTTTGGGATTCGTCAGAGAAAGCCGGTGCTTTTCAGACGGAAAGCTCACTTCACTCCTTCTGCGGATGCAGCTGCTGGGATTTTGTCCCGCGCTGGAGGTTCTCCCCGAGGTAGTGACGCGACGTGGGCGCTGCCGTTCTGAAGCACCTCCCTCTCTTCCAGGCGGGCGATTATTTCTTGTAGCTTGTTCTCGATGTTGTGATGCGCGGCGGCCTCTGCATTATGACGGGACTGGTCTGCTCCCATATTAGCACACGGCAAGCTTGTGATTGCAGATATGCCCGTCGTAAGCAGTAGAGTAATGGAGGCTGATGGGCGAGAGCGAGATTGTTCGGAAGCCTGTAATACTTTGCCTGGCGCACGCCCTGTCAGTGTGGATGTGCGGAACTGGGAGTTTCATTCGCAATGCCCTTTATCCCCAGGAGTCACGGTACGGAGGCTATTGAGCCACAGCTCATGCCGCACAGCACAAGCACAGCGTGCACACGAGGCCTTCGTCGAAGACACAAGGCTCGGGTGCGCTCCCCACCTATGCTGCCAAGATCCTCTGAACGAGCTGATACTGGAGGCCTGGGCTAGGGCGCCTTCGAGCATGTAGCTTTCAATAGGCTACCTGTGCATAGAAGCCAAGTATGCCAGTGCCTGTGATCAACTCGCAGTGCCGAAGCTCTACAAGCTGATTCAGGAGAGGGCGAGAGGTGCATTGTACTCTGAGGCTGCGCCATCACCTTGCGGCCTTCCAACTCACTCGTAGAATGGTGGATGTAACCTAATATATATATAAAGACCAGACCTATCGCGCGTGTACAAACGAATGAATCCATCCCTCCTATCTTGAGCAAATGAAAGCCTCAAGCGTCGGCCATCCCTCATCCTCTGCACGTGGCGACTATCCTATCTCAGGGTGTTGTTCAGCTGAGGCTCGAGTGACTGTCTTTGTCTGTCGTTCGATATGACCCCGCTGACACATACTTAGATAAATTTCCACTCGGCTGTCACACGGTTTAAATATCCATGGAACATAATCGGCCATCTCAAGGTTGAAGGTCAGATTAATATTGGAGTACTCACCGGGCACCTCGCCCTCCTCCTCGGTAGCAATCTGAGTGAATACACCAACAGACAGGTCAATCGAGTTGTCGTTGATGCACGTCGGACATACATCCGCTATTGTTACCGTAACCGACTTCCTGTTGTTCTTGTTCTGGATGAACACTTGCTTCCCGCAGAGATCCTGGCTATATATGGCGGAATCTGGCGAAGGTGCTCAAGCTGAATGCTGCTCCATACAGCACAAGTGATGAAGAGGCTAACCAATAGCGGCAACTACGTCGCTGTCAGCATGCACGGTTCCACATGCACCTGTCAAGCCGTTCTGATAAAAGAAGGTTGCCCTGCAAAGTACTCCAAGTGAGCGGCAGAAGCTAAGCTGTGGAGACTACGAGTACTGACACTCCACCTGTTATGTGACCCGCATCGCCGCGGGTCCGGAGAGGAGCAGCGCTGGCCGGAGACAGCCTACTGAAGGCGAGTACGATAACTGACAAATCGCAGAAACAAAGGAGAAGGATGGGACCATTATGCACTTCATATCGAGGTCGGTCAAGGTGATTTCCGGGCGAGGCTGGATTAAAGGAAAGACCGAAGAAGTACGCTACACAGCAGAGAGGGACCCTGCATTATAGATTGTGGTATCTAAGTGAGGAGCAGTATAACAGACTCGTTAAGCTTACGGCCCAAGGGTATTGAGGTACTGGGGAGGGAGGGAAGCTCAGCTTGAGGGGAACAGGCTCGGGCATCACCATTTTATGGGAAGTGGCCATCATCTCGGGGTAGCTTGGGCGGCAGGTAATCGGTGTCGTCGGTCATGACTGCCCTAGACACCCGAACCTACTGCTTCCTCACGATATGACCAATAGATACACGGGCTTCATGGGGCCGCCACATATGTCACTAACAGGGACGTCCATATACCCCGTCAGGGGCACACTGCCTGTCTGATGCATATATAATATTCAGACAGATCACGTTGTATAATCATGGGAGTTCTAGTTTCTGAGCGACAGCATTACTACCTTGGAAATTGCATGCCCGTCCATCATGTAAGATCCTAGTACTAGCACCTCAATTGGGCGAGTTCATCTCGGCAGACGAAACTGCCTCTCGGCGGCTGATGACATATCTGCGAACTCGCCTCAGACTCTCCAGCATTCTCCCAAATAGGCCCGCGTGAGCTCACGACAGTGATCTCGAAATGTCGAGCGTTCACACAGATGTTTCAACGATGAATCGCTTGTTTGTTTTGGACGTGGATGTAGTAGGTCTCTGAGAACTATGCGACAGGAATGTCTGTATACTGGGAATGTAGAGGTGGCCTGGTACTAGAGTGTAATCAACCAATCAGGGCCTTCTCGTCTTGAGTGAGCGCTAGTGGAGATTGTGGAATAACCTGATGTGGAAATGCAATTGCCTAATTCAGATTTTGCATTCGTCTCTAAAGGTCTGTCCCCGAGATTTTGTCTTCCTCCCTAAAATGAACTCGATACGCTATGAACAAGCCTAAAAGTATTCGTTTCTGTGTGTCGCACCCCATTTACTAGTGTTAATACTGAACCGCGTCTCATGAAGTAGCTCATACCGATGCGGGTACTTGAGCCTTCTAAATAGTCTCAAGTTTGAATTCTTGCCGAGGTACGTGCTTTTCTAAGTGCTGGCTTGATGGGCAAGTTTGTTATCACAGGTGAATTGATTATAGAAAAGTGAAAAGCGGTCTGACAATATCCATGGTACTAGTACCGCGGCGCGGGGTTGTATTTTCGACTGACTGTTGCATCCGACCAGGTCCCACGTACCCCCCATACAATAGATCTCTTCAAAAGCAAGAGCTTTCATTGAAGGCCGTGCCAATAACACTCTGTGTTGAAATCCCCGACTCCCTAGTAGGGAGGAGGGTTCTGTCTATGTAATCAATCGCTGATTCGTTCACCATGCATCTGGCTTGCCTTTCGGTCCGCCCTCACTGCTGCGCCGCTGTCCTAGTATTTGTTGCATTGCAGTCGTTCTAGCATTGATGCATTCACGGAACAGATATACACAGGCCGCGCCCCTCCCAGGAACATAAAGGACCTCGTCGCTAATGTAGGTCTCAAAGGCCTGGCAGTTATTGTCCTGCACGAGGCAGTAGAGAATGAGGGCACTTCATGTACCTTTGACGACGAAGGTCCTCTAGGTGTAGAGACAGACGTAAATAGCAACTTCAACGACAATCCTAGCAGCAGCGATGAATTATTCTGACTTTATAACACTGCCCGTATGTACCGAATGTATAGTAGTCCATGATACACTATCGAATACTATTCACCGAGGACCTTGCCTTTCGCCTCTTTCACCACTCAGTACTCAGGAGTTGGGGATTGGCGCTTGCGCCGCTATTGTACGGCTTCAGCTACCGGAGAATGCCGCCATCGCTGAAAAGGGTGCATATCAGACGTTCTCACGCTTTCGACCTCGGGCCAACACTCCACGGCTGGTTTCGAGCGTCCAACTGCTGCATCCGACCCTCTGGTGTGCTCTCTCGGCATATCTCGCAGGTGGATGGGGCAACATTCAGCGAACTGATGTGCCGTGCGAGGGAGCGAATATTTCCACCTGTACTCTGCAGTACACTTATCCAGAAACGGTTTGTTCTCACCCGGAAGGTGAAATCCGACTGAAAGAGAAGGCTCTATGTAGGGCTTCATGGTAGATTAGCGAGAGAGAGCCTATCCGAACGCTCGGATTACACTTCGACACTTCCCTCGGGACGTCATGGATCTCTGTCCTGTTTCGCCGACATTTCTTCATCACGACATTGTCAGGCGCGTCGAGCGCCCCCTCATCTGTCTTGAGATAATGCCATCACTCAGAAGCAGAAGTGAGTGGCTACTCCAGTGTACTGGAACCTTCGCGTGGACGCTATTGACTCCATACGTTCAGAGGGCTTCACTCCTTCCCAAGCCTGCCGCAAAATCGAAGAAGCCGGCACGTCTTGTCTACGACGCTTGAGTCGCTGTTGACCTTGCGCATGGGGTTGCTGTGTATACTGGATGACCCCCGCCACCTAGTCACAGCAGATTGTGGATTATATTGCGTGAAAGTGATGACTCTTCCGCATAGAATGACGCCTTTCTGGACTTGCTGTGCAGCACGCAGTCGTTATCCCAGCTGTCAATCTGATAATCCCAGCGTAGAGGTCTTGTCCAACGGGGAAGTGCTTGACTTCCCACTCCCTGGCCACCCATACATCGGATCCTGTAGGAACGTTCGTTTTTCTCGCAGCGAACAGCCCAACGCCGGCTGAGTGGGTACCATTCCCTCACTTATCGCCCAATCCAGAGTCTGGTCGCTCTTCTGTACCCCAACGGTGTACGTCGCACATTGCAAACATGCGGTCGTATTCCGATGTGGTATTTGACTTATGGTGTTTGCGTGATGTTCGGATATGGCACATGCTGCGGTCTGCACAATACTTAAGCTTGCCCGTCCGAACCGTGTTGGCCAAGGCTATAGAGGATTTGCACCTTGTACGTGAATTGTCTTTGTTGTGATTGGCGACTGTACTAAACGTTTACAGCTGTTCTTATGGGACCTACTGGCGCCTCTCTCATTCGTAAATCCCAGCCTGGCTGTTCGCCCTCCTTACCAGCGGAACTGTGGCTTCGGATACTTAGGATAGCGACATCCGTACCTGATGCCGTTGCCCCTACTGCCGACGATATCTACACACCCCGCAGTGGACGCCCAGAGCAGCGAGAAAATCAGCCCTTACGCGACTCCCTGGTGACAAAGCGTTACCTAGTACGCGTCTGTAGACTGTGGAGGGCTCTTGCTTCGAGGTTCCTGTATGAGGCCGTGGTCATTGGTCGAGGGCACACCATTCCGTCTCTCCGTGATACGCTGGTCGCGTCTAAGCATGCCACTGAAAGCATGGCAAACGAATATCGTCCTCTGGGATGGTATACGCGGCGCCTGGACCTGTCTGTACGTGGGCAGACTCATATCACCACCGGTCCGGCACATGTCGAGCTCGATTACCTTGCGGAGATCATTCGGTGTCTCCCGAATCTTGCTATCTTCACGGTAAACGTGACCACCAAACAGTACCCGGATACGATGCCTGCCTCGGTTATGCAAGCGCTCGCAGAGAACTGCAGTACATCTTTGCGCGTCCTGCATTGGCCCGACTGCGGGAGCCGAGTGGGAAGGGTCCTTGATCCAAAACCAGCTGAATGGCGCATGCTTCTCACTGCTGCGTCGAACCTCAAGGCTGTCCGTTGCTCAGATATGCTCTACTCATCTCGGGGATATGAGAATCACCACTCCATCTTCCCCGATCTTCCCGGCTTGACCACCCTGACCCTGTCCAACAAGGTGTGCAAAGATTACCTCGGCTCTCCTCATTCATTGCCATCCTTACGTCATTTGCGGTACCACGACTGCTCCTCCTGCATCCCCCATGCCTGGAAGGGCTTGCTGCAGCTGTACGGCGCTCACCTAGCCGCTGTGACACTCATTTTCCATCACTTCGGTGCTGATGTCCAAGGACATCTGGACTTGTTGGCCGAGTTCTGCCCTCGTCTCGATAAATTGCTGCTGTGCTTCCGTTCATGGCCTCGTTTCCCCGCTCACCTTCGCCTTCCCCCCATCACCTGCCTCGCGCTCATGTCCGCGAAACCGAATTCGACCAACGCGGAATGCATGGCCCTGTTTGCTTCGCTGTCTACTATCGACGTTCAAGACTTGCAGACCGTGCGAGTCATGCACGAACGAGACGTAGCCAAGCTACGTAGCAGAAATTCCAAGCTGTTAGATATAGGGCTGGCACAGCTCCGGTGTCGCAAGTTTCAGCTAGAAGATCATGCGGGCACGATATTGATGGCAAGGAAAGAGTAGCCATGGATTTGGTGGGCGAATGCCTGGCGACCAGAGTGGGCGGCGGTTGTCCGAACACTGAAAAGGTTTGACAGAGCGCGTGGTGTATAACATTGAGCTGCGAGCTGAACGTACGACGCTTAGATATACTACGATAGACAAACGGAAATGTTGTTTATATACCTTGGTAAAATGGCAGCTGGTGACCCTAAATAAGGAGTCAACGCGCAAGGGGGGATATGACATTGTCTATGCAGTACACGTCAGTGGAAGTAAGTTCGTGGACCGCTGCCTCTCCACCGAAGAACAATTTTTAGCTCAGTACATTGCGATAGTAGCAGCGGCTCCGTACTCTGAATCATCATGATCGAGTCGACCTCCTGGTGCTCCGGCAAGCTGAGAGCCTCCGGCATTATTGTGAGCTATAGACATGGCCACCACATGCGAGCTTCCCCTCGAGGCTTCCTGACTCATACAATGCACCAGTTAAACAGTACTCAACGTCGTCTATGCCTAGAACGTCGGTGATGATATCAGAAAGAATCACCCACGGTATTACATAGAATACTAGTGTATCTAATCGTACAAGATCTTTAGAAGATATGGACGAACAAGACGGATATACAGATAGACGTTGAACAAGCTGCAAGGTATGTACTGCAGATATTCCAACTTCATAACTTCGCCCAAGCATCAGCCTGGTTAACCTTCAAGCTCTCTTTGAGAGCGTTGACTTCATCGATAGTCGCCAGGACGAAATTGAACTTCCATACCCAGACTCGACCGTTCCGAACTTCGTCGTCTCTGAAACCCATCTCCGCCCATCGAGAGGGATCACTTTCCGGGTAGACGTCACAGATAAGCGACTTCTTTGTCGCAAAGACCGGATCAGTGCCAAGGAAAGGCGAGTGAGATGGGTATAACGCGGTGGTCAGGCTATAAGAGCGAAGTGAGAATCGACTCCTGCAGTGGATGAGGTCATCAACGTACGGGTCAAAGCCTGGGGCGCGAAGGTGAAAGTGTATGTGAGATGACCGATGGGGGTGACGGCCTACAGTCAAACAGGTCATAGTCAGTGAATACCGTCGATGATATCAAATCCAAAGGCGATGTAATATTTACCCAGTAATCGCAGTAAGTCACCAACAGGACCATCGCTGGGCTAGTGGTATCAGGTGTCAGCGTTAGAGACTGAGTAACTGATTTAGGGGAACAAACTATAGGGTAAGCGGTAGGCAGTACACCGCGGTAACAGAATGACCCATCTTCCTCCGCTATTATTCGACCACGGTCATTTGGCTCTTCTCTTTCGGGCTCCTGCACGTCGTAGATCCCGTCTCCATCGGCTTGCCACTTTGGCGGGTCTTCCATCAGAGGTCTAGGACTCACGCAGCAGAAATGAATTGCTTACAAGGTCGACCTTAGCACCTTTGACAGGCTGGCCTTTCGTGTCTTTGATGGTAGCCTCAAAGAACATGCTTTCTCCGGTAGTATCAGAGCTCGCGATGGAGCAACCCGAGGGAAGCTCGGGCATATCGGTATACCAGAACGGACCCTCCTCACAACTGTCGGTACATCCCTGCGAATCAGTAAATCAGTGGACAGCCTCACAGAGTCTGCGCGTCAACTCACTAAAGGCTTAGGATGATTGAGTTCGTCGATAAGCGCACTCATGCCCAGGACGTCGCTTAAGCAAATAAATTCGTTCTTGAATTCTGTGCTTTCCTTGCCACAGCGCGTCAAAAAGGTGATCGTCTTCTCCCATTCGTCGTGAGTCGGTCTGACTTCTCGCGCAAAAGCGTGCAGGTGGGTTATCATGGACGAGAAGAGCTCGAGTGTACGAGGATCCTTGACTAGCTTTGTATGAAGGTCTTGCATGCTGTAGGTCTGGGTCAGCACTTCGGTCTCGTCTGCACCGAAGCAGATGCGTACTGGTCGGTGATAGTATATTCGCTTCCCTCACGAAAGTCGCGGTCGAGGGGGAGGTCTACGGGTATCTCTTCCTCCAGCTGTGCACGGATGGCCTTGCCAACCAAGAGCGGGTTCTTCATCTGTTCTTCGGTAGCCATTTCGAGGTAGGTAGGATGGAGGGGAGATTGAATGCGAATAGGGGGTCATGCTTCCGACTGAGCCTTTTATACATTCCCGGCGACCGCAGAAATTGCCACCCGAATGTTAGCTTTTCAGACCAAGCACGGGACGAGTGGCGATAGACACTACCGGATAAGGCAATTGGGTAATAATGGCTTCATTCCGTTCCTCTTGTGACTTCTTGCACCTGACTGCGCCGATTCCTTTCTGACATATGGTGGCGGAATGTATGAAGGATCAGAGACGTCCCGGTCAAGGCCCTTACTCATCTCTAGGAGCGGAACAGGCATGGGCGTTGACATGACCACACAGGTGATGACGGACAGACACCAAATCGCCGTTAATAGCCAGACCGAATGTAAGTTCCGGGATCCACTCGAAGCCATTCTGGAATCGCGTCCCGGCAGATGGATGACCTTGAAGGTCGAGAGGACTCCGACTTGCTGACTTCACTGTCAGCAAAGCATACTTCTATTCCACAGATAGCGCGGGATGGCAAGCATAAAACGGCTTGCTGATTAACGCCGAAAGCGAAGAACATCCGTCGAGTACGTCTAGATCGCGCGTACCTGTGCCAAAAATCGCCTGTCATTACAGACGCCCATTCCGTACATTAATGATCGGTGATTTCTTTGTATAGGCGACGACTGACAGGACGGAGGACTGAGATTAAAAACCGAATAACTTCCATAATAAACAGCGCACCTAGTTGTTTTGTCTTACGGTTTCCCGCGTCAGCGCGACGAATACATGTCCAGACGAAACGAATGAGTCTTTCCCGCCGCGTCACTGAGGTTGTTTGAGTCTTGAGCCGCATGCAGATCGGAGGCACAGAAGCTCGCGAGGCGTGCATAATCTGAAGCCAACTAGGAGAGCATAAGGAAACTCGATGACGAAGACCCCCAAGCAGGCCTCCAAACCGCCATAGTACTGCGGTGCCTGTGCCACAGAAGGCGTATGACACGGTAACGCTTTTACCTATGACACGAAGACAGTTCAATCGCAGTCAACTGATCCCCAGTCTGGAGCGATCATCCATGAAGTAGCGTCAGAAATCGAAGCTGGCTCAGTAAGCACGAGGATCAGCGCTTGGTCATGTCGCCCTTTGCTTCTTTCTCTCTTCAACGCGCCGACGTGCGCAGGGTTTGCTATCCTAAAAGAACTGCGCTCCTCATCAGCTTTCTGCATCGTCTTCGACGTTCTCGTCAGTATGGATTGCGGGAGTGTCGCTAGAGTAATGTAATTGACCACGGCCTATTATTATAGTCCATCCTAAGTAGTTGCCGTAACAGGTAGGTGGCGCTCATAGTGATGAAGCCAGCCGTAAGAAATAGCGGATACGCCATGCGCGCAGCTCTCCTACGAAACGCCTACGTCGGATGGTCGATAAGGTGGAAGTCGCCCAGTCGACCTCCGATATACTCAAGATATACCTGAACAGACTTGAACTCTCACCTTTGCCGCGGAAGGAACCGGGCCCGGTATAGGCTCCAGCGCAGTTGCCGAAGTAAAGGACAACCTTGGACAAACACTCATATTCGAGCAGTGGCATGCAACCTGGCTGTTTCCTCTCTCTCCCAGTGTGGTCTTTTGGACCTTTTTAAGCTTCAAGCATATATACTAGTACTGTGCCGTCTCCAAGCAACTTCACTTGAGACAGAATGGGTCTATTTTCTTCCGAATTGGATGCCTCAAGCGACTACTGGCAAGCGATCAAACGAGCATGCCGCCTCCATCAGGAAAACCCTCCTGAGCTAATTATGTCTAATTATGTCTAATCCTGCCTAATCATGCAGGATTAGCTGCATTATGCAGTCGTATCTAATTAGACAAGTTAGGTTTGTCCCCTAGCTAATTAGACATAATTATTGCCCATTAGACAGTATCCTGTCATATTAGACAGCAGTTGTGTTGCAATCACATCATATCATATCCCAGTATACCATGAGGAGTATTCAGATATATATTCACAAATGTAACTACAGACAGGCATGTAACTGCAATCTCTCATCCCTCATCAGCCTACAATATCACTTTCCCCCACAAGCAGGCTAAGGAAAGTTCCCAATGGCCAATCCAGGTAAGAGAAGGCATCAACATAGTACTTGTAAGGGAGATCATTTGGACATCAGAAGACACCTGCAACACACTACAGACCACCTTGAATACAGACCCTAGTCCAAAAAGATATGGGTCACACAGTCAGACCACAGCAACAGCTTGATAATATCAAGTACATACCAATCCCATAAGCTTATGAACTTCTCACAAAACTGCAAGCCGGCCCCGATTGCATCCACCAGCATAAACCCAGGTGTTTGCGGCTTCACTCCCCTCAAAGGAGCAGTTCACAATCTGCACTACAGCTGGACCTATACATCAATGTGCTACATGCAGAACTTGACACAGACTGACCATATTTACTGCAAACCAGTGCATGCATCAGCTGATGCCTGACGGCACATTATTAAGTGAATGTCGTACTTGCAGAGTCGAGTAGGACCCGGT